TCTCTAACTGGTGTGAAGCCCAATCTCACATCCACGTCTTGATTTCACTTCCTTTGGTTTCTGGTCACAGTTTTTGCAGTCTTATTGGATAAATCATACATATCACAGCCGTGAATAAACTCAGGGTCGAACCTCATAAGGCAAAGGCAGATAAGTAAGTGCCTGACTTTTGTGGACTATATATATATATATATATATATGTGTGTGTGTGTGAACAAATGCAACAGACGCAAGATGGCAAACAACTGAATTCAGCTGAAGTTTTGCAGTTAGCTGTAGTGGCTTGCATGATAAGTAAAACTCTGGCTGAAGGTCCTTGGGAAGTGAAATCAGGACGGGTATGTGAAATTGGAAGGCAAAAGGGGCGACATTGAGGCCCTCCAGCGATGCTTTGAGTGGGTACTGGCAGCATGGTTGGTCAAGGCCAAGCGTTGGAGCTCCAGCATACCCAAGTAGCACCTTTGCTGGCGTCAACAGCATAGTGGACCACGGAGGAAGCAGAGAGCAGCCAAGGGATATAAATTAATGTAAAGAGATTTTATTTCCGTTAGATTTGAAGCATTTCTGATGGTCAATTTATCATGAAATTCTCACACAATGTAAAGGGTAGCTGCCGTGCTCAAATGATGTAGAAAAATAAATGTAGAAAAAATAGAGATACTTTTTTATTTTTTTGGACAGTAACTGTATGTTTGACACATTACTCCAGTTTAATCCCAATATAAAATTCTGTTCTGTGTATCTTTGATGAGAATATCTTTTATGATGCAGACGTGTTGTGGACCATAAATCGTGTGAAAAATATTTATTAAGCAATAAGTCAGTGGATTTATATTTAACACTAGAGTCTTCAGTGTTAAAATGTGAAATCCATTCAGATGCTGTTTCCTAAATGTATGTTGCATACAACATCTTTGAAATTGTTTGTTTATTGTACTAGTATTTACTAATAATAGTGAACAAAGTGGGACTTACTGAGCTGCAGTAAGAATAGTTTTTTTTTCTTTTCATGATGACCAAATTGGCGAGCCCAGTGTGTGAACTTGGATAGCATTCAAACTGGAATGAAAGAGGTCACTATGCACTGTTCCTCCACATCCGAAAAAACAGGCTATTTCAACTTCCTGTGGCCCTGTTGTGCACTACAAGCAGACATTGTCAGGATTCATGGAGGCGTGCTATCTGTTACCATGTCCTTCAAAAGTGTAGTGAAACTTTCCCTGTCCACGCTCTCCTGTCATAATTGTGTTACAGAATACTCAGAAAGAATCACTAGGATGGAAAACACCCTGTAGAAAGTGTCTGCCATCCATCCAGAATAATATTTGCCACTGAGATGAACTGATTTAGTTAAAAAAAAAACGATGTATATGCATGGTAAGGACGCATGAGTCACAAAATAGTGGCATTTTCAGATTCTAAAATCCTCTGTATCCTCCATCACTGGCTATGAATCTGATTAATCTATGAGGCTAAAATGCATAAAAGTTAAATACAAATATATTTCCAGAATCAAAATTAATTTGAAAAACAACTTGCTGGAAACTTCACTGAAACTAAGAAAAACTGAAAATGTAAAAGCGTTACAACTGTGCGAGTGAATTTGTACTTTCTTGAGTAGCTGCTTCTACTCAAGTATGTCTGGGAGGAAAATAATCTACTTTTTATTAATTTACCCTTTAACATTTTGATGACAGCATCTGGACTCTTTTGTGATTGGTCACAACTCTCGCTTTAGAGACTTTTATTCATTTTATTTTACACTTAGACTGTTCCAGTGCAGTTCTAGAGGTTACCTTGTTGTCATGCATCATTCTCGGTCTGAGGCCTCCAAGGACTCCATCTCCCAGAATCCTCTGGAGGATCACGTGACTCGACCCTCCACCACTTCAATCACCACTCTCTGTCTCCTGAATACTAATCTGTTTCACCTCTTGCTGTCATTACCTGCCTAGTTAGTGTTAGTATAAAGCCTGGGCTTTTAGTCTAGTTCGTTGCAAAGTATTGTGTCTTTCTAAGCAGCTGTGCGTTTATTCCTGTATTGTTGTTTCCGGTTCCGATTGCTTTTCTGTATTTTTGACTTTTGCCTGACCCCTTTGGACTGTTTTTGGCCTGGTGTTGTGTTTGTTTCTTTGTACCTTTTGTGTTTTTTGGATTAGACCTGTGCCTGTTTTCTGACAACGATTTTGGATCACGACAATCTTTTCCCTTTTTATCCCTGAGAGTCTGATTCATTCTGTCACGTTACACCTCTACCTTGAGTACTACTCAGTACATACATACATAAGACTTTTTTGACCTGTTTCTTTTGTGTTTTTTGTAAAAGGTGGTATTTGTTGGAAAGCTGCTTCTGAAGTTTAGAGTCATTATTTCACTGAAGTAACGTTAATTTTGCTTGACAATCAGTTTAGGCTACTGCTCCCAACCAGAGGTGGGTAGTTACATTTACTCAAGTACTAGACTTGTACTCTCCTGAGTATTTTCAAATCATAATACTTGCACCTTTACGCAAGTATATTGGTGAGTAAAAGAAACTACTTTTACTCTGTTAACTTTTGGCTATTCATATTTACTCACTAATTCCCTTTTTGTGTTAATTTATGTTTTGATGATGACTGTGTCTGTACTGGTTTGTGATTGGTCACATCTCCAACTCTGGAGCTTTAGCATTGTATTTTAGACCAAAAGAATCCCAAAAAGTGAAGAATAGAGCCGTACAATCTTCAGTTTCTTTGCTGACAAATGGTGACTTACAAGTTTCACTCGCAGTTCTGTAAGTTACTCAAGTAAGAAAGCAAGTATCAATTCTTTTACTTGAGAATTGATTTAGGCTGCTTTACCCCCTCTGCTCCCACTACTTTGTTACTTCCTGCATCAGTCAGAGCCACAGAACAGAAGATCATGCAGGCTGAATTTATGTAAGGAATCACTGAGAAGCTGCATGTGCTCCTGGACCTCTCTGAAGGTCAGTGTTTTCTTGGCAGTAATAGCCCTGCTTATGTCATCTCAGAGGAACTGTTTGTCTTTCTTTGTTTGAGTAAAGACACTCTGATTGCCTATTAGGGAACTGTTCAGACTTTTTCTTCAGCACTTCTGTCTTGACTTCTTTACTGTTTTCCTGTGAAAGGGCTGAGAAAATGTTTTCTAATTATATGCACCTTCATTGCCATATACTCCATACATCTTCACAAACAGTGTTCAATAGATAAACGTTTAATGGCTGAGTGGGTCTAAGTGATCTTTCAATAAAGGCTTCTAACAAAGGCTTTTTCCTCATGTTTCTGTAGTTTTATCCTTTGAATGCATTGACTGTTTTAGTTTCTTTAGAGTTCATATGCTTCTGATATTTTATCTTTGCTGACTATGCACTTCATTTTGCTGCTCACTGTAATATAATCACCAACAAAGACCTTGAACACGATTGATTACTGACACAAATATCTGTAGTGATTCCTATTAAACCGCAGTCCATATTTGTAATTCTCAAGTGTATGGCTCTGATTTTGTAAGAGTTATTATTAGAGATGCACAATGATATTGAAATCATATTGGCAGATAATTGCTTAAAAAAATATTTGGCACATTTATTGCACACCAGAGGATCATAACGTTTAGATGACAGTGCTACTCTGCTAAAATGTCTCCATTTTATTCATTTTACCGCATTTGTAACTACAGAAATAAATATTTTAATAATAACCATAATACAGGTAGATGTAGTCCCACACCACACATTTTCCAAGCCGCTTATCCTTCTGGGTCGCAGGAGGAGCTGGAGCCTATCCCAGCGGTCATTGGATGGAAGGCAGGATTCACCCTGGACAGGTCACCAGTCCAACACAGGGCAGACAGACAGACACATACATTCACACCTAGGGGCAATTTAGCATGTCCAGTTGGTCTGACTGCATGTCTTTGGACTGTGGGAGGAAACCCACGCAGACACAGGAAGAACATGCAAACTCCACACAGAAGGGACCCTGGTCTCCCGGCTGGGAATCGAATCCTTTCTTGCCGTGAGGGACAGCACTACCCACTGCGCATAAAGCCTTAACAGATCAATATCAAATTTTTTGATATTCAAAGAAATCTGCAGCGATATTTTTCCACACCTCCACAGTTCAGTCTTAGAAGTTGATTGCATTTTCTGCTTCTGGTGGTAGTCAGATTTTTTTAACTCTAGTTGTAAGGACTCTTTTCTCTTATTTTCCTTTGACATTCACCTTTCTAATGCAAATGGATTATTTTATATCTATATCAATGGCCATTTTGACTGGAAATTAAATGAATGTACCGTATGTACATAAAAAATGTCAGATGTTGGCATCGATCCACAATTCCCATATCAGAGGAAAGCTAGCTATAATGTATTGTAATGACAGAATTTCAAAGATGTGGTATTTTTTCTTGTTCCTTATCTAAAACTGGAACTGAATATGGATCCAGAGGCTCTGGGAGAATTCAGAACAAGTGTTAAAACTGCTTGTTATGGCCAGAGCTGACAAATATACAATTGTTATTCTTCCACAACAACATTAGATTTTCTTTTTAATTTTCACATAAATTTATGAATTTCTTAGTATTTTAGTATGTATTATGCTGTTGTTATGCCTAAATGACAGTGTCCAATCAAGCTGACATGGACTCCACAAGTTTGTGCAAATGCCTCTGATGAATAGATCAAGTACACATGAGAGTCATCTAAACACAAACTTCAATGGACACGTCAAATTCATTTTACTTGTCACAGCTTTTCTTTGCTTTAAATTATTCAAAGTTCTAGAACTTTCACTTGTTTATCTGCAGGTTTAAAGTGGTCTTAGACCTTTGGATCCCACTGCATGTGAAAAAGCACTGACAAATTTATGATATGCATAATATCTCATTACAACACTGCAAAACTGCAGCGTATTGCATAAATGCTGCTTCTTTGCTCTTCCCAGTGGAATTTAAAAAGGCAATAAAAACATTTAAAACAGTAAAAAAAAAGTCACAGAAGGTCATAGAAAAGTCAGTGTAATGAAATGAATTAAAAAAAAAAAAAGTGTGACATATAACCATAAACCTCATTACAATTATTGCAGAAATATGTCAATTATTAAAATTTACCCACTATTCTTCACACAGATGAGCAATTTCCAAATGAATACACTTTTGCTGGACAAAAAGGCTAGCAGTGAATTAGTGACATGACTCTGAGAGAGGAGTGAGTGAATGTCAGTAAATGCCACTAAATCCCCACAAGCGTTTTGTCTGTATATTCTGCAAGTATATTTTATTTGTATTTTATCTGGATCAAAGTGTTCTAGTAGCTTCTAGGCTGTAATGAAGCTGTTTTTGTTTGGCTTGTAAGATCCAATAAAGACTAGTTGCACATTATAATTCATATCCTTTGATGGCACTTGTTAATACTCACTTGTTAACACAACATATTTATTTGTGTGTATAATTGTGATTAGAAGGGAGAAGGGAGGGAGAACTGAAGGGAGCTCCTTTTAAGCTCTATTCTATTTTAAGCAAAATAGCCAATTCTCTTAGGTTCAGGTTTAACTGGAAATACAAAGTGTTTTTGTTTTTTTTCCCTAAACAATGTTGTAGTGCATATTTTTTCACATTAGTGAATTTTGGCTCCATTAAACCACATTGGCCTACAACCCAGGCTGCTGTATATTGACCTTAATACATACACAAATACATTTTTTTTAACAACTGCTGTTATTCATGAGTAAAAATGCTAGAGTTACAATATCTGATTAAATACTAGCCAGAAATTACATTTAATATTAAATTAGTGTTTAATTTTAAACATTCACTACTGTTAAAAGTGAATATGTGTACAATCAACAAAATATTTGCAGTTATGTATGGGTTAGATTTAAATGAACTCAATATATGAACTAGATGGTTTGTTAAATGAATAGCCTTCACTGAGGAGCTGTGGGTGCGTTCACAACAATCATGGGCTGTAAGAAGAAACATGAGCAGAAGATAACACAGTTAGCAAACAACGGCATCTTGAATGGACAGAAAATATGGAATATTAGGTTTGCTTTACTGGGTTCTTACCACGCTAGTCTGGGGTGAGCAGCACTGAATCACTTTGCAGCAGAATGCAGCTAAGGTGGCAGAGATGGCAACCTGAGCTGCCTGACATAGCATTTCTAGTCCTTCCACATGTATGTGTGCCTCCTGTGGATAAGCAGAATAAATGGTCATTTTTCTAATTAACTAGTAGTACCCCTCTGTGTACTGTGGCAGATTTTGGATGTTTTGGTTCATATCTGCACATCAGTTCATTTGTTCACAGCACATTACAGTAGACTGAGTGTTCCTTCTGTCGTCTTTTGCACCACATTCAATAACTTCACACACGGCCGTGCTTGCTGCCTGCCACAGATCTAAAAGGATAGCCTAATAAAATTTGAATGCTTTGGAAGATGTATCATTTGTTGTTCCTGCCTCTGATCTAAAATGCCCATCATTTAGCTCTGCTCTGCAAGAAAACAAAAAATATATGCACTGATTCAGCTTCCTCTCAAACCACTCGTCCTAGGAACACTATAAAAGTTTTGGGGATTTGGAGACCTCACTGATGGAAACACAGGCTTAGCACTGATGCACAAAATATTTTTGTGGTCTTATTGGATTTTAGTGCAGATTGACACAGTTAATTGCAAGATTCCAATCCATTGTACTAAAAAACTGGGTAAGCTGCTCAGGCACTGTTTTGGAATGGTTTAAATCCTAGTTAATTCTATTAATTTCTTCATGTATTTGTTACAAGCAGAGTTGATTAATGTAATTTCCAGGGCTTTCTAAAAAGCAATCCGTCTCCCACCACTCGTACAAATAGCAGCAGCATGGATCTCAATGAAAACAAACCAGTCTTTTAGGATAGATTTCAAAGTTTTTTTACTTGTTTGTTAAGCTCTAAATGGCCTTAAAGCACCGCGTACCTCACAGAATGTCTGTCTGTTAATGTTCCAACATGTGATCTTAGATCTGCAGATGATGGCTTTCTGAATTTCCTTCATAAAATACAGAAACCATGGAGAGGACTCTTTCTGTTACTATACTTCAAAAGTGTGGAACTCAGTTCCACCTTCATTATGCAGTCAAGCTCGGTACACACTTTGATCCATGTTATTGCTCAGTTAGGACAAAAGGTCTCATGGTCGTCCCAAACCGGATTCATTACGAGATCAAGTCTGGTGCTGCAGCACTATAAACTGTGTATACTAAATCAATCTTACCCTCAATTTTTCACACATGGTTTCCGGCGAAGTTGTATTTTCATCGTGATAGTACCAGCAGGAGTACATCGTATGGCTGTCGAATATTTGCCCCAAACTGATAATGAAGCAGACCACTGACCCTACACATGTCACTATCTGCATTCCCAAACAGGCCTTCAGCTGTTAGAAAACAAAACATACACAAACAGAGACATACTCACCTTTAAGACATTGCTATGAAATAACCATGCACTGTTGCACATGCACTTTTTTAAAGGGCTCACATCTTTTGATGTTTGAGTAGTTTTATGTACAAGAAACAGTAATAGAACATTTTAATACATAACCTCTCTATGTTGTGTATGCTGTTCTGATTGGCTATAATAATAAAGTAATAATATTAGTAATCAATTTTGCCACTATGTAAGTGCAGTATTTGTTTCTAGAACAACAACACTTCTGTACTTTTGCCTCATTTAAAAGGAAGTCCAGGCTGAATCACTTATTATAACTTTGTTGTGAACAAGATGAACCGCTGCAAAGTATGTGTGTTAGTTTTTGTGACATCATATAAGCAAAATATTCAAAACAGGCCATTTCTAATATGCACCATATGGTTTGGGAAGTGAGTGTTACATTATAAAACACAGTTCAAACCCTTTCATTAAGAAAATAATGAGGAATATTCAGTTTCCCATGTTTTGAGCCCTTTAAATAATTTTAACCATGTGTCAACATGTCCAAGAAGAAAGTTAGTTCTTTACGCTTACTTTAGGAAGGTGAAGAGTCTGTGCAGCTATTGCCACGCTACCAGCTATTATTCCCTTCATTATGGAAAGAAATTGTACATTGTCAGACACTGCATTAAAACAACAAACAAACAGCATCACAGCAAGGTTCTGCGTTCAACCCATTAAGACAAGCTAATTCCAAACATGACTGACATATGATGTATGGTAACGTAATTCCAAAGACACTCATTTTTAACAGGTAATACTTACAAGTGAAGAGAGGCTACAGGTGATACTATTTGGAATGGTGGCCGTGTCATCATTGTGCATAACTGTAATTAGGATACTAATGCCAAAGAAACTCAGCATAATCTGTGTTAGCTGTGGAAAACAAAATCACACAAAAATCTCATCTGTTTTGTGAGGAAACAGAACAAAATATTAAAGTTGTAGGTAACATTAAAGTAGTGAACTTCAGAGGCAAGCTCTGTCAACACACCCCTAAAGCTTTGGGCTCCGCCTCCAAGTACTTCTGTTTTTGATAGGGGTTTTTCTGAAAGGTGACTTCCACCAGTGCTCCTGTTTCACTCTGAGCATTATGGTTTTGGGATGCAGCACTATGGTCAGCTGAGTCAACAATCTCCACGTCACTGTCACCTGAAGGCATGAAATCAAAGTGTTTAATTACCAAAAACATACAAAATGAAAAGATTTGAATGCCCCCGGTCAAATTCGTTGATTTTCTGAGTGAAAATGAGAATGACATATTCTCTACAACCCATATGTCAAACACAAGGCACATAGGCCATAATCCTGTCCTGCCCAGGAAACTATTTTCATTTTCTGCTATACTGAAGTATAAAATATAAACTACTCTACTATTTTACATTAGCATGTTTTATAATATGAACTACAATCCCCAGCATGCACTGCAACATAATGTGCGCTCCCCCTCCCCTCCCCCAACAACAATCTACAGACAGCAGTTACACCACAGTTCTACACAGTACCACACCAGTCATATCACTACATACACTAGCTGCACTTCAGCTGCAGTTCAACTAATATTAATATTTAGCTCAGCAGCTCAGAAATTGATCCCAAGAATGAACGAACTTACAGCAAAGATGCCAGGCGTCTAGATCAAGCACATAGGCAGGTTTTTTAATGTTTCATGTATTCATGTAGTATTTCAGGATTTTCTACAAGTGCTCATATTTTACTGTGGACTTTTTGCTATATTTTGAATGGCCAGTTCAGGTTATGACAAAATGTTATTTAAAAATGAAATAAAAACATATGTTTTCCTGTGGCCCATAGATTTGTTGAGATTTTGTAATATGGCCCTTTTAGTGGTTGACTTTGACACTCCTGCTCTACAAAGAACAGACTTAAATGTGGCATTTTTCTGCAATTTTTAGTGTGTTTTCTATTTATTTGCTGAGTTGAACATATTAGAAAAAAAACAAAACATGAAATATAAAAGTTATATTGGGATGACTAGCAGTGTAATGATTCATTTGACTCCTGACTCAACTGCATCAATCATAAAAGGGAAACACTTAACACTGGATTGTGTGCAATAGTCAAAATCGATGGCCTAAAAATTAAAAACAAACTTGTTTTGTAAATAACAAATAGCCTACATATGAGTTTGTTCTTTGATTTCAGCCTCATAGCTGAGTGGATTAGGCAGCGAGTCACATAGGAAACGCAGCATGAGACCTTTACAAACCAAAGCTCAGGCACTGCTAATCATAAACCAACCAACAGTCCTCTGTTTTGGTTTCAGTTTACAAACCCAATTCCAAAAAAGTTGGCACAGTAGGTAAAATGCAAATAAAACCATACTTTTTTCACACATTAATTCAGTAACCTACTCACTCTCTTACTAATTCACTAACTCACTCATTCACCCACTTTGTTAGTCCGCTTTCACCCTGTTCTTTAACCGTCAGGGCCCCCAAAGAACCACCACAGAGCAGGTATTACTGTGTGTCAGTGTGTTGCACTAGTACAAGTGGATCAGATACAGCAGTATTAAACACCTCAATGTCACTGCTGGACTGAGAACAGTCCACCAACCAAAAATATCCAGCCAACAGCGTCTTGTAGGCAGGGTATCACTGCATATATGGGCAGTTTGTATTCAGACTTGCAATATAACACAATTTGTGGAGAAAACATTTTAATATCCTGAGTAACATAGCATAACAAAATCAAACATGGCTGCCTTCTAATAACATTTTTGCTTTGTGTGTAGTATGCTCTGTGTATTTGATCTGTGATTTGTGAGTTTTCCATTTCTTCCACTCTCAAAAAATTATAACATTTAAATCTGTGCATACAATAATTTGAGGCTGGTTTTGTTCAGTGTTATACAATTAAAATTACATTGATGTGTTAATGTATTATGTGTTTTTGGTGATTACATGTGATAGCATGTAGAAGTCTGTTTAATGTGTTACCATGTGTTACACGCGTGAAAAGTGTAAATGAATAAATCATGAGAGAAAGTTACAAATGAAAAAGGCATCACGTGAAAAGTCCACATGTGGAGAAAAGGTGTGATTGTTCACAACTGAAGGTCATGTAGTTTTTTTCTGTAAAGGAGTCAGAGAGTTGGTTTAAATAAAAGTTTAAGAGCAGACAGAAGGAGGGAGGAGTACGGAATGCGGAGCTGCTTCAGGATCAGGGTGGGAAAGTCTGGTTTAAGCTGTGTCTCAGCTGCAGGAGTCCTATGTAAAAGAAGCGCTTCGAATTCTCATCACATGTTGTCTAGCTGTCTCTCGAGGACACCGTGAGCGGTTATTGCTCGGATATTCGCCTCTACGAAGTCGCAGAGAGGCGTGAACAGCTATTTTCAACTGCACTGTTTTCCCTCGTAGTTTAACTAACACATTCGGCCTACATGACTGAGCAAAGTTGAGTCGTGTTTTGTTGTAAATCCGACAGAGTTATAGCTGGTTAGGCTACACAGACGGAGCTAAACTCGCCCAAACGCTGCTGTTTACACGGTGCGCTGGCTAACGGTCCGTTGAGAACATGTCTAATCCAGCCTGTGCGCTGACTTCGCTCCGCTCACTCTTTACCGAAACACACCGCGCTGGATGCTCGGAGGCTCGATAACCTACCTGTCATTTCCGCTGGTTCCGTGTGTTAAAGTGAGTTACTTTGCAGCCTGAAAGGCCGAGAAGTGTCGTATCTGCTGACAGTGAATCTGAGGGTATTTTTCAGTTTTCCCGTTATTCAGTCCCGCCCCCCCACCAAGAAATTTGACCCCGATAAACATCTGGGAAGCCACAGCTGTGGGGTTCAAACATGGCCACAGTTCACTGTCAGCTCCTCCACTCCTACATTAACCCTGTACACACTCACCATGTGGGGAGTTAAGAAGAGCCAACAGTTACGATTTATAGGTTTTATTACCTTCAAACAGTCCGCGCAGTTACAGTAGAACTGAACTCCACTGTGTTTAAACTTCTCTTTCCCGTCAACTTTATCATGATTAATATAGTCTATCCCAAGTACACGACTCAACCTTTGCTTTATCTTACAGGCTCTACGTGTCCATTAGTTTGTAGGCACCTGCTCATCCATGCTGGGGGGCTCTGTGCTCAGGGTTGGGATACAAATCACTGCTGTTGGAACAAAACCTTGTATCTCAAAATGAAAACTTTACAGGAGAAAGAAAAAGTTCTTAACTTGGAATAAAAATCAATCTAAAAGTTTTCAAAATCATTTCGGACCATTTCTGTTGCTCCATTCATCATGACATTTCAACACAGTGCAAAGGGTAACTGGAGTTTTATTTTTGCCAAAACAAATATTTTTTTTTGCGACAGAGATGATATTCAGAATACAAGACATCTGTATTGACTTCATATTACATTTTGAAAAGGCAGTATTCAAACCTCAGCATGTACTCAATTATTAATTATTATTATTATTAATAATAATAATAATAATAATAATAATGAAAGAAAATGAAGAGTCTAATATAAATCAGTGCTTGTTTATAAACTCCTAAATTCTTTAGAATCTATCTAACACACTCATTAGACAGACTCAAAAGGGGAAGTTAAGCCTCAGTGCTGAAGCGTCAGTAGACTGATAAATCAGTGACGAGTCAATTACAGTAAGTGGAAATAAGTATTCAGACACCTGGTTTTTGTTATGTATTATACTTTCAGTGCATTTATCAACTTCAGATTTATATATACACCGATCAGGCATAACATTATGACCACCTCCTTGTTTCTACGCTCATTGTCCATTTTATCAGCTCCACTGACTATATAGGTGCACTTTGTAGTTCTGCAATTACAGACTGTAGCCCATCTGTTTCTCTGCATACTTTATAAGCCCTCTTTACCCTGTTCTTCAGTGGTCAGGACCCCCATGGAAAAGTTGCTTTCAGGTTGTGCTGCAGCAGAGTTATGAGGCTATGAAGGGGGGTTAAGACACCTGTCATCTGCCTTTCACTGAGTATAATTGGTGGATTGGTGTGTCCATCTACATTTTGTGTCAAACTGACCAATGGACACTCAGAAGCTCACCACATTGGAAATCCTTCATTCTTCATTCAGTCGACATCAGAGAAACATGCGAAATGGCCTGCAAAGAGTTTACAGCCACTGAAGGTGCTGCAGCAGTTTCGGAAAGTAGAGACGAAGTTAATGGAGCATTTTGATTTGAGTATCAAGTAAATATGCAAGTGCCTTTAAAAAAGATACGCAAACATTGAGAAAATGCCCTTAGACCCCAGAAGGTTAATATACACGTTTCATGGTATGATGTCATATATCATGTCAAATGACAAATGACATTTTATTGATTTTCTAAGTGAAAGTAAGTTAACACATCCTGTAAAAAGAACACACTTCAGTACATTTTAATGCACAATTACTGTTCATTTGCTGAATGTAACATATTGGAGAAAAAATAAAAACATAAGAAGTGACAAAAGTGCAAAAGTTATGGCACACGTTTATGTTTCATTTTTCCCAATAAATGAATCTCAGCAAATAAATTGAAATAATGGGCTAAAATCTCCATAAAATGTTATATTCAAGCGCAACCTCTGTAGAGGATACGTTAACTCATATGTTAACTCTTTCTACAAAACATGTCATTTGACTGGGGGTATTCAAACATCTGCATACATCTGTAAATAGCTTTTATGTGGGTCCGCTAGAGTGTTTACCCTAAGTGTCCCACCTTTACTGAGTTCATGATGCTTTTGGAGATAGCTTGCTTTTGCAGTGGACTGAAGCGGGTGATGAGAGAAAAACAAAAACACATTTGTAGCTGCTCCAGAGCATATACCTTAAACTACATGAATCCACTAATTGGAAGATGCATTTGGATATTTTTGGTTTAGGTCACCGGCCAGGTGACCAGGGTCCTTTCTGTGTGGAGTTTGCATGTTCTTCCTGCGTCTGCATGGGTTTCCTCCGGATACTCTGGTTTAATCCCACAGTCCAAAGACATGCAGTCAGGCGAATTGGAGATGCTAAATTGCCCCTAGGTGTGAATATGTGTGTGAGTGTATATGTCTGTGTACCCTGCGATGGACTGGCAACCTATCCAGCACCCCATGTGACCCAGAAGGATCTGTAATTGTCCTTTCAGTTAAAAAGTTTAAAAGAGGCAGTTTTTGTTGCTGATTGAGATTCACCTGCCAGATGACCTGGAATAACCTAGAATTGTGCCAATTGAGACCAAATTAAAATCAGACATTACAGCTGACTTCATGACACCACTAATGTTGTGGGTAAAATAAAACACTAGTAGAACTAGAATTATGAGTGGATATTTATAGATTAGTCCTTGTGTGGTGTTCGGGTCTGTGGGACCCATTTTAAACCTCAGATTCCTTGGCCTTTGCTCATTTTCTGTGAAGAACATACAAAATAACACATTTTCAGTGACTTCACACTGTTCACCCCCTACACATTTATATAACGCGTGATGTTGGTGTGAACCAACGGGGGAATACAAGTGTGGAGGTGCTGTGTCTCTTCACTCTGTTCTCCTCCTACATGGCCTGCTGTAAGTATGTGTGCCTGTTTGTGTTTTTATATGTGTGCGTGTGTGAGGGTGGACAACTTGGACAGGCTGCTGACTGGCAACAGCTGCTAAAGGAGAACCCTATGCTGGCCACTTGTTATATTTTAGACATTTTAGTACCTTTTTCCAAGTAATTTTGGGCCATTTCTTTTGGTTGGTTCATCATGAAATTTACACACAATATAAAGGGCAATAGATGCTTTCAAATGATGACAAAAACCGAAAAACACCAAAAACGGAGATACAACGTTTTGTTCCGACAGCAGTGATATCCATGTATTGTTAGTTAAATATGCTCTGCACTTTATTGCATTCCTTTATACTTGTCTGGCTGATGATACATTATTCAAAACATTTACTGTAAAGGTTAGCACCACTTATCAGCCTATTTAGAGATATGGCATACATTAAAAATAGTCAGTTTCACCTAAAAATGACTTCATCAAACTGAAATACATAGTTTTACTAAAATAATGCAAAACAAAATAAATGGGGTAGATGAACATCAATGGAATATTTTACATCAATTCAATCTCAAAGAATATAATAATTTTTGCCACTGTTAGTAGTAGCCACTGCAGACCTATTGTTAACGGATAATATTAGTGACTTTAATCCATGTTGATGTTATTGACATGTTTGTCTTAGTTTTGTTGCTGTGTTTGGTTACAGCTCATCATTCTACTTTGTAGAATGGTATTTTACTTTATAGTGTAACAATGAAAAAAACAGTACACATAGTGTAATAATGGACGGTGTTAGACAGTACACAGAGTAATAATGGACAGTTTTAGACAGTACGCATAGAGTAATAATGGACAGTGTTAGACAGTACACATATAGTAATAATGGACTGTGTTAGACAGTACACATAGAGTAATAATGGACAGTGTTAGACAGTACGCATAGTAATTAAAGACAGTTTTAGACAGTACACATAGAGTAATAATGGACAGTGTTAGACAGTACGCATAGAGTAATAATGGACTGTGTTAGACAGTACACATAGAGTAATAATGGACAGTTTTAGACAGTACACATAGTATAATAAAAGACAGTGTTAGACAGTACACATAGTAATTAAAGACAGTTTTAGACAGTACACATAGAGTAATAATGGACAGTGTTAGACAGTACGCATAGAGTAATAATGGACTGTGTTAGACAGTACACATAGAGTAATAATGGACAGTGTTAGACAGTACGCATAGTATAATAAAAGACAGTGTTAGACAGTACACATAGAGTAATAATGGACAGTGTTAGACAGTACACATAGAGTAATAATGGACAGTTTTAGACAGTACACATAGTAATTAAAGACAGTTTTAGACAGTACACATAGAGTAATAATGGACAGTTTTAGACAGTACACATAGTATAATAAAAGACAGTGTTAGACAGTAAGCACAGTGTAATAATGGACAGTGTTAGACAGTACACATAGAGTAATAAAAGACAGTGTTGGACAGTACACATAGTGTAATGATGGACAGTTTTAGACAGTACACATAGAGTAATAATGGACAGTGTTAGACAGTAAGCATAGAGTAATAATGGACAGTGTTAGACAGTAAGCATAGAGTAATAATGGACAGTTTTAGACAGTACACATAGTATAATAAAAGACAGTGTTAGACAGTACACATAGAGTAATAATGGACAGTGTTACACAGTACACATAGAGTAATAATGGACAGTGTTAGACAGTACACAGAGTAATTAAAGACAAAACTAATAGACAATGATAGACAAGTAAGGCAGTAATGCACACAGTGCTGTCAGAACAGTGGTAGAAAGTCGTACGTACTGTACGCAAAATGACATTAAGAACTGGAGTTTCTCTCCAAGCCACCAGGTGGTGCTCTCAGTGCTAGTAACAGCCAATGGCTGCAGCTTCCAGGAATTCCAGCAACCTCATTGCCCTCTTCTGGTACTGCCAGCTACAAGAGTAAAGAAAAAGTCCTTGTCCACTTGCCAGGAACGTGCAGCCTTGACCTACAAACCTGGCGCAAGGCTGTGAGTTTGTAGCCAAGCAAAAGGCCCAAAAGATCTGTTGGCACAGTTTTGTTTAGAAAAAAAAAATTATTAAAACCCACTGCTATTCCAGTCGGTTTAGGATTTTCCAGCATACAGAAGTACATGGAAATATATGTATATAATGTACATATTTTCCACATATCCAAACTATATGCGCAACACATGTAACATTTCACCTTCTTGGGGACAGCAAGGGTTTAAAAGAGCATTAGGTATGATTGCAATGTGTCAACTTGATCTGGATCCGCTGAGAAAGGAGACAAAATTGGACGCAGTCTTGGATTTTCCTTTGACTGTGTCATTACCAGTTTACCACATAATATGGATAAAATACCATTTTGCAAATATTTTGTTACATATTGTGATTGTAATATGTCTTTTAATGTGTATGTACACATATACACACCAAATGAGATCCAATTTTACTTGTGTAAAAAGAACCTCAACAAATGCGTTGTTTCTGTTTTACTTTTGTTTATTTTATCCCTGTTGCAATACAAGCTTGGCCTGGACATGTTCATCTGCCCATAGTGCAAGAAGGAACCTGATGAAGTCAACATGCAGACCCATTTCCATTTGCACAATTGTCAAGATCTGTCTCTGCCCCTTTATTTTAAGGGCTCAAAAATAATTGGACAAACTAACAATCATAAATTAAACTGTTGTTTTTGATACTCCATAAACATTATTTCCAATCACTGTCTGCTTGAAGTCCCACAGACATGAACAGAAGCTGGGTTTCTTTAGTCGTGATCCTCTGCCAGGCCTTTACCAAGGCAGTATTCAGTTCCTGCGTGGTCTTGGGGAGTTTTACATTCAGTTTTGCCTTTAGTACGTGAAATGTCTGCTCTGTTGGATTGAGGTCAGGTGATTGGTTTGGCCATTGCAGAACATTCTTTTTGCCTCAAAAATATCTTGGGTTGCTTTCACAGTATGTTTTGGGTCATTGTATATCACAGCACTATAAAGTATATACAATCAGCACATTGTATATACAGCACTGTAAAGCACCGTTCAATGAATGTTCAATGAATTATGAAGCATTTGGCTGAATCTGGGCAGATAATATAGCCCTATCTACTTCAGAATTCATCCTGCTAATTTGGTCAACAGTCACATCAACAATAAATACAAGAAAACCAGTTCCATTGGCAGCCATACATGCCCACATCTTAAAGCTCTACTGCACTTTCTGTAATGGCACTTTGTCTTAATTTACTTTTTATTTTGATTTTAATTCAATGAATAATTTCTTCCCTTTTAAAATCTATTGTTTTGATCATACTTTTACATTAAAAAATTTTTATCTCTATTCTCCTTTATGTTACTTTTAAAATTATAATTTGAATTATTGTTGTATTTTCCCACTTGTAAAGCAGTTTGAATGACCGCAGTATATGAAAGGTATTATATAAATAAACCACCATGCTCAACAGATGAGGTGGTATACTTTGAATCATGAGTTTCTTCTCTTCTCCATACTCTTCCCATCATTCTGGTACAAATTGACCTATGACTCATGTGTTCATAACATGTTACAGAACTTTACAAGCTTCTTTAGATGTTTATAACTCTAATCTGGGCTTCCTGAATTTGAGGCTTATGGTTTTCATCTTGTAGTAAAGCCTCTGTATTGGCTCTGTTGAAGTCTTCTCTTGACTGTTGACACAGATACGCCTATGAAAATAGCTGTAATTCCTACACCGAGAACCTGATTTGGATGTAAATACACTTAAACTAAAGCTGATTATTTAATTCAAACTTCAAAATGCTGTGGTAGACAGCTACAATAACAAAAGATTGTCAACATCCACATCTGACTACGTAAGATTAAAAAAAAAACTATATATTTAAATTTTATATAAAGAAAATACTGACCAGATTTTTTTGTTTTAGATATTTATTAGGCCACACAACAAAATCATATGTTCATATTATATTCCCTTTATTCCTTTACATTTCCATTTGTTAAAGGTGCCCTAATTGAGTTGTTGTCCATCATTTAAAAAAGGTGCTACTAAGCAAATAAAGGCCCTGAATTTGTCAGTAATCAGTAGCACACTCACAACGGCCCAGGATCCTGAAAAAATCATGAAAGTCAATGGATCAGAGCTATAGTTGCATATACTGGACAAAAACTCAGCTAGGCTGCTTTAAAGGTACTAGCATAATTTATTCAAGCTAAAATAGGCTACAGGTAAATTGGCATACATTGAAGAAATTATAGTTCAAAAGTAGATGCTACATTTATAATGTTTTGCTAAGATGCAACAACAGCCAATTAAAAAAAACAAAAAAAAAACAAACAAAAAAAAAAACAATATAATATACACACTTTGTATTCCATAAAGAACCTTTCAATGGATGGTTCTTACAAAAACATTTTAGAAAATGAGATGTGTGAGTGAAGAACATTTTGAAGTTTTAAGAAGATCCACATGATGTAAGGATTCTACATCAATTAAACATTTTTCCTAGTGCCATTTGTCTAAGCCAAGAACCATTTTGGAACCTTTATTTTGAAGAGTGTACCTGAAATCATTTTTGCATTTGTTACCTCCATCATAAATTCAGAGAACATAATTCTGAAAAATTGGGCAAAACATGTCCTTTATATAATCAGCAAATTTTATTCTTTATTATTTTAGTGCTTAGGTTGAGATACAGACCTTATAGGAGACTTTGCATATCATCGCTCTACAAAAAAGTATCCCCAATTGTACTTTAATAGAGGAGGGCAAATATGTTCTTTACTTTTAGTGTAAGTGAATGTAACAATATATTATTTCAAGCAATTTTGGAGCATTTCTATTGGTCCATTCATAACACAATGTAAAGGGCAGCCATTGTCCTCAAATTATGCAGAAAAATAAAAACAGAAGAAATAGATATTTTTTATACTGAAAAGTTATAGCACTTTTATATTTTATATTTTTTTTCCAAATATGTTAAATTCAGCAAATACATAAAATTATGTACCAATATCTGCAGAAAAATAAAATATTTAAGTGTGTTCCCTGTAGAGAATGTCTCATCTTATTTTCACCTAGAAAATCAACAAAAATGTAATTTGACAGGTATTTTTTTTTTTTTGTCAGCGATGATATCTATGAAGCTAAGTGTTTTTGCAGTGCTGCAAATTGTATATCATTAGTATCTTTCCGCATTTTGCAGTTGATATTACTTGTAAATTTCTTTGGTGATTAGGCTATTTTTTAGGATTTACTACTGAACTATGATCAGTCTTCCATTTTCTTTTCATCTCTCACAAATCTCAGAACTACTTAAGACCTCAACAAAATGATATCAGATCCAGTCATTGTGGAGGGGCTCAAGCACACAGTCTATCATACTTTTGGGAAAAAACACTGCTAATGAAAATAATGAGTGCAATTATACACATACATAAGGTTTAAGACATTTAAGCATAGTAAGGAAAGCACAAAAAATCCCTTTGTGATTTACTATGTGAACAAAGTAGGCAGAAGCACTAGGAACTGAAACTATATGCTGCATTTGGAGCACTTCTGTACAACAAATCTGCTTTTTGTACAAGATTTCACAATTTTAGTGGATGTACAGATTGTATCGGCTACAAGAGTAGCAGTACTTGATGCCTGTATTAAAGGATGTCAGTTTTCGCAGAGCAGGCGTTAACAGAAAAACTCCCTTTTCTTAACTGTTTAGGAATACGAGTGCTGGTTTTAATGTATAATGCTGTTTTAAGTGGCACTAATGATGATGATGTCCTCTCTTGTTAATCGGTGGAGTCTTTCAGAGAGTCTGGTACCCGTCTGTTCTCTTTCTCCTGCTGAAGAAGTAAGCTATGAGTACGATGATGATGAGGACGATCAGAACCACACCTACAGCAATGGCCACGTTGTAGTTAGGCTCGTCAGCCTTGCACAGGTCAACTGCAGTAGACAAACAGTAAGTGATTTGATTAGTCAAATCCATCTGGACACGAACGGATGACACAGACTTCATGTAGTTCAAGGAAACGAATTCACATGAATTCTTTGGAAATCATCTGTAATACATTCACTTGAAAATCAGTAAAAGCCAATGCAACCTGGAACAATGTGGTAGTTATGGTCACATCCAGAGGTTTGGACACTCCTGGTCAAAGGACATGTTTTGTTGATTTTGTAAGTGAAAATAAATGAACACATCAACTGCAGAGGACAAACCTACTGTTTATTTGCTGAATTTAACATATCGAAAAAAATAAAACATAAAATCTGATCTGTAGATATTTAATGCTTTATTTTTTCAACATTTAATTCAGAAAAGACATAGAACCTGTGCACCAATGTCTACAGAAAAGGCCATATTTAAGTGTGTTCCCTATTTGGGATGTGTTAACTTATTTTCACTTCAAAATCAACAAAACATGTCCTTTGACAGAGGGGGTTCGAGCTTTTATATCCTGTGAACTTGCATTTTTGCTTTAGTGACATTCATTAGAACTGTGAAATCAATGTTCTAAATTCTGCTGCAAGCAATTTTGATGAAGGTTGAAAAAACTGAAAATAGGCAGAAAAAGAATGTACAAGATAGATTGTGAATACCTTAAACTGATAAAAAAAAGCTTTCTGTAATATCAGTTTAATTTGAAAGCAACAAAAAAACAACACTGAACCACAGCAAAGAATTTGGAATACTTCAGTAAATAAAAGGCATATAAAATACACCTGTCATTTTAACAAGTCGTGATTTTTTTTTTTTACTTTATTTATATCAAAATGTAATAGTCACAGTGACTATAGCACAAGAGGACTCTACTTCATGCAGGAGTGTTCAATTCAAGATCTAATGTCTCATCAAACCGGAAAGGCCAGATTAGGCCGTGCCTGACACAGCAGATTTCTGTCATATGGAATTATACAGAAAGACGAGATACTGATCTACCGTTGTGAAGGGAAGGTTATGGCAGGGGTAAAAAGCGTGTTTGACCTTCTGAGTTTATATCCAATAAAGTACAAGTTTGACTGGCTCAAGGAGACTGAAATCAGAAACCTGTCAACATAAACACGAACTTGAGATGGCAGCAGAAAAAGCGTAGCAACGCATTATAAAGGACTGAGGGTAAATAGTGATGTAGGAGGGTTGCAAGTTCTTTATCATACTAAACTTAAAATGGGTTAAAAGAGACGTGGTCTGCAAAACATAGCTACAAGGAAATCCTGACGTTCTTTTATTCTTAACGTTCAGTGGGGTTTCTCCATTACTGATGAGTTTTGGGGTTTTTACTTGTCATGTTGTCATTTGACCTTCTACAATAAAGCTTTGTAGAAGCTACAAACAGCATTTGCAAACATGCCCATGCCTTGCCATCAATTTTTAGCTACTAATGCAACAGCTTTCACGTGTAAGGGGGAAGAGACTTTTGTTGCATTTTTATAGCATTAGAACAGGCAGGCCTTCTTAACTGCACAGGCTTGGAGGCCCTTATTTTCTCCACCTTAGTAGTAAAAGTAGATATCAAAGTAGAAAAAGCACTCAGATTAACTCTAAAGTCTCACAGTGCTTTTTGCACGATAAATTTGTCCACTTCAACTCTAGGCTTACTATTCAGTTAAAATCTTAAGTCTTATCAAATAACTACTGTTAATTATTTGTGTCAATCTTATTATTAGTCTTATTATTTAATACTATGGAACTAATTTGATTTGATATGAGAGTGAAGTGTTAAACTGTGGACCCAGATATGGGCCCTATAAGTTTAAGGGTTTAATGAGTGACTGTATGGTGTTGTGTTTATATTAAATATTTTGCACAGCTACAGTCGTATATGCAAATAGTAAATTAACACACCCTGTACAGAGAACACACTCAATGCACGCTCTAATGCACAACTGCTATTTATTAGTCAAATTTAATATTTTGTATTAAAAAATGTATAGCACATTTTAGATTTTATGTTTTATTTTTTACACTATGTTAAACTCAGCAAATAAACACTCAGCTCAGCAGATAAATGCCAAGTGTATTCTCTGTAGAGGATGTGTTTACTTATTTTCCCTTCAAAAAAATCAACAAAACATGTCATTTGACCAAGGGAGTTCAAACTTTTGCATGTGACTGTATTGCAAAACATTTGACATAAAATCTCAGCAAGTGAACACCAAACATGAGGGTGTATATAGTAATATTAATGCTATACAAAGTCAGTATTCTTTTACTATAAGAAAAATAAGACTTTAAAATAAAAAAGGAAACTAGTTAATGATTTTAATGTATCTGGTATCTGATGAGGATAGCAATCTGAGGCTAGTGCTATTCTCCAAAGAGAACCTTTGTGACCAGTAACACAGGCCTAAGGCTGATCTAAGTGCTTTACTGAGCTTGTACAAAGAATAATTCCTGACTAACTTTAGGAACACCGAAACAAGTAATATACAGAATTTGTGTAACTCGAATATGCACATCATTTCAAAATTAGTGATATAAAATATATGACATCAACACAATTACTGGACAAATCCAGTAAATTATAACAGAAAATAGATATACTTTACTTATGTGAAAATGATGTACACATTAGAATAAATTCACTGAATGACTTTTTCCAGTGTAGTTGGCAGCAACTGAAAATAGGTAACTACTCTTTCAGAAATGACTGTCATAGGCTGTTGAGCTACAGCGTACTCACGTGGGCCGAACTGGTTGTTGCTGAAGTTAAAGGCTTGAATCCTCTGCTGTGAGAACTCTAGATTGATACCATCACCAAGAAAGACCGACTCTGACTTGCAGGAGTAGGAGTGACCCACCTTCATACTGAAAAGCTGAACTGACTTATTCGTTTTGGAGATATTGTACAAGTCTGCAGAAAATAAAAGAAAAAAAAATTAAATGCAACATTTACACACATTTGAAGCCTTTGTGGTAAGATGACACACTGAGTTGAGTATGCGTGGGTCTTCAACATCAGACAGATTATTTTATCAAACTGTACATGCTGAATCATGCCTGTATGGGTCAGATGTTTGAGAAAGGAAACTGCAGCCTCAACTAAATTTACAATCTACACAGACATGACTAGGGAGTTGTAACCCAACCCAGTACTGCACACATTTATTTTAAAATGAACTTATTTCTGCAACAAATTAAGCATGACAGCTAAAAATGTGTGTCACGTTTGTAATATATTTCCATATATGTTTGACATATATGAAAATATAAAAAAAAAACATTTACACTAAATCCTGACGCTATTACCTATATTTTAGCGAGCATATATTTCAATATACTGATGTACATATATTGGCATATATTTAAATGTTCAAAATGGCAGAGTTAAGCATATTTATCACCTATATTACATATGACATACATACCTATATAACATAATGAAGGATTGATTAAATAAACAAGATACTGGTTGATAATTACAATTTATAGTAGCCTACGACATGCATGGACAAGTTTGGAAACACATTGACATACATAACATCACACATTGTATTAATGTCATTTGTATTTATTCTCATTTGCGTATATGTATATATCATACTGTATATTTTTCTCCCATTCGTCTGCATTTGTTGCTTTTCCATTGGAGCTCCCAATACAGTAGACATTCCTACAGAATTTACTTTATGTGCTTGAATACAGTTTTTATCTTCATGTAGCAGTGTAGAAGTTTTACTGTAATCAGGACACCATGTGCTTCCCTTTTCCTCAGATAGCCAAGTGTTACTGTATAAGTGCCGTTAAACTGGCTAAACCGCATCTTATTGTTTATTCGTTCCTCATAGCTCCACCTGCACAACATAGACAAAACTACTATAAAAAGCCACACTGTAATAATCTGTATGACCAATTCCAGTTCTTACTAGTTACCGTCATATGCGAAAGTTTAGGCACCCCTGGTCAAATTACAGGTTTTTATTGATTTTCTGAGTGAAAATAATTAACACATCCTCTACAGAGAACACACTTCTGCACATTTCAATATAAAAAGTGGCCTGTGGAAAAGTTCTGGCACATTTCATATGTTTTATTTTTCCCCCAGTATGTTAAATTTGCAGGCAAATGTCATATTTAATTTGCTCCCTGTAGAGGATGTGTTAACTTATTTTCACTTAGAAAATCAACAAAATATGTAATTTAGCCAGGAGTGTTCAGACTTTTGCATATAACTGTACATTCAGTAACACCTTAAATATCTGTGGCTCTTTTTAACAAAATGTTACCCACAAGCAGCTTTTACTCTTACATCTGAACCTCATAATCGATGAAATTAACTACATCGATCTCATTTACTTGTTACCTTCAAGACAGCGAGATTAAACTGTTCTAAACACTTGAACCAGCTTGTCTTTAACCAGCCAGGTTTACACTGCTTATCTGCCTCTGTAAAGCTGCAGCAAAGTTCACATCCTCATAAAACCAAGCAGTATATATAAACCAATAGCTAATAGCGTCACTGATATTTATCTGCTTGACTTCATGTGACCAAAGGCCTTGGCGGCATACTGCAATCAGCATATAGCCATAAACATGCCATTATCATGATGTGCAGTCTGCCACATATAAAAGGTGGTAATAATGAGTTAAAGTTAAATTTTAATCATTGTCTGTAAACTTTAAAGTAATGCAAAACAACTGTACAATATGTTGCACAAATTAATGAAAAAAAAATTCATTTCATGCACATCTTCCTCCATATGTCATCTAAAATCTAAAAAAGTTTCATATATATATATATATATATATATATATATATATATATATAAATATATATATATATATATATATATATATATTTTGTGGAAACAACTGTCACTGATCACAACTAGGCATCAGGTATCGATTTCTGTTTTGTTTATAGCTATAGCTGATTTATAGGATCACTGTTTCATTTAAGGAAGCACAGTGACTTCTGTTCTGAAGTTAAATTTGTATTTCTCCAAACTAACTCTTTGGCCAAACTAATGTCTGGTATGTAAATAGAGCTCTGTAAAACCAAGACCTACCTAAAAATGGGCCCAAATCTTCATTTCGGATCTAAATTTATACTTAACTGGGATCATCATACCAATATTGAGTTTTAGCACCATTGATACTGCTTGCTTAACTGCCATGTATTACTTAACAGTAAATTTCTTTCTTAGTAAAAAGCATTCTACATCATACCAAAAAAAGCTTATTTGACTTAACCTTTTTGATGCTTACATAGAACCATTTTTTAAAAGATTCTTTAAAGAACTATACACAGAAGGTACACATGGGGAAGAACCAATCAACCATGTAAAGAATGCAGTCAAATGAATCTTTGAGTTGTTATGGTTCTATATATTGTCATTGTCCAAAACCAAGAAGTAGAAAACAAGTACCACCATTTTCTGTGATTTTTAGGTTTCTGCATAATTTGAGCTCAGCAGCTGTCCTTTACATTGTGTGGAAATTATATGATGATTGGACCAATATAAATGCTCCCAAAATCTTTGGTAAAGGCAATAGTTATATATATAGACCAAGACAACTCAAAGAACTATAAGAACACTTAAATGGTTCTTCTCTATGATGGAGAACCTCTTTGAATTTGAATACTTAAATCGTTCTTTGCCTGGTTAAATGGTATTTCTCTGTAACAAAGAACCTTTTGTATATAGTTCTTCTATTCAGAACCTTGTTCTATATGCAGAAAATGGTTCGATATAGCACCAAAAAGGATTCCACTATTGTTAGGAGTCAAAGAACCCCCTTTTTGTTACCATATAGAATCATTTTTGATAAAACTGTAGCAGTACACAGGGCACATGGGTTCTTTAACTTTATTAAATACCATCTGGTGTTGTGCTGTATTTGGAAAACACTGTGACACTGAATTCCACCAATATTGCCCATATCATATTTTCCTTAAAATGGAAAGAAATGCTTGAGACAGTTAGGCCTACCTCTATTTGAGAAGGCGTAGATCAAGTTGACAGACACAGTGTTGACATAGACCTTCTTTGTGGTGTCATTCTAGAAAAAAAAGGATGTGCAAATGACCAAAAAACGCACACAGCACTCACACACACATGCTGAGTGTGAGTAAATGACTTGTGAATCAGAGGATGATCAGAAAGACACCATATGACATGTGACTAAGGCCTGTTCATGGGAGACATTGCACATCTATAAGGCAAAGAATAACACTGATCTTGCGTGTGTGTGTTTTTTTTAAGAATGAAAGAGATTCTTATTATTTTTAAAATTATAAGTATGTTAGTATAACTAAATAGCAGATGCATTGCTAACTATTATAAATGAATAAACAACATTACAGACAGTCCTACATAAGCATATGCACTATTACAGTATCTCTAGCCTCACTATAATGTAGAGGGAGGGAGTGGTATCACGAGCTCAATGCCATACGCCATCTGCGCTCAGCTGGTTTCTGGGAGGTTGCTTAGGTGCATGAGTGAGAGAATAAATAGTACTTTTATCGACCTACTTCCTCTTTAGGGGCCAAAGTTCCTTTTTTTTATTTTACAGCATCCATTAGAGTCTCATCTACATCTACAGCGTTCAATGTACACATCTACTGAAGATTCATGTTGTTCTACTCAAGAGAATATTCATATATGCAATGCTATTATCACATGGCCTAATTTAACTACATCATTCTTGCTCAATCACTTAACAGAAGAGCTTCTGTGAAGAAATACTTCTTCTTAGTTATGTATTATACTTACACAATTATATCTATCATACGTAAATGTATTGTGTACCTGAATACACCATTGCCAGCACATTATATCTGACACTATGATTCTGAATACATCAAATTCTGTAAGTATGTTCTTCTATGCACATTGATCCTTTTATAAAATCGTATTATCACCCCCAACTATGTTCAAAATATCCTCTGCCTTACCTTGATGAAGTTCAAAGAGATATTTCCCTCCTTGAATTTCAGGTCAATATTAGACATATTGACGTTACAGCTCCCGGCAGGACTGACCTGGTTTGGCTGAACCTTGAATACACCTGTAGCCTACACAGATGAATAAATTTTAAAAACATAAAACGTCAATAAAAAAAGATGCACAATTAAAGATTAAAACTGTGTATTTACTTGGACATCATTTCATATTATGACTACATTTTCTAAACACACAGCATATTGCAGTAGGGATGTTTTTGAGGGCTTTGACTAATTATGCAAAACTAGAGCCTACAACACTTTGGTTTTGACATTAAATTCATTTATTGATGAAACTGTTTCGTTAATCATTTACATAACTGTAAGTTGCTATGGTAGTTTCAGCAGGTGTTTTGAAAGAAGAACACACATAACGACATGATAGTGTTATCTCTGCAAGCTGTTATCACCAGATCACCAGGGCACGCAAGCTCCTTACCTTAGAGTTGCTTACATTGACCTGGATTGCCGCCTGGACCATAATACACAAGTTGTTTCCAGCCTTGACGGTGTAGTTCCCCAGGGTGAGGTTGGCCGGTGGCGTTGGTCCAGGTTTATGAGTGGTAATGGGCACAGTGTGAGGGGTTGTCAAGTTGGCGGTTGTATGGTGGGTCGATGGGGTAGTGGTGGTAATGTTGACGTGGGCAGTTGTTGCATTTGAAGGAGTAGTGGTGGGATTGGTGTGAGCTGTTGTGTGATTGGCAGTTGTGTGATGAGCGGTGGTGGTGATGTTGGCCGGTGGCGTTGGTCCAGGTTTATGAGTGGTAATGGGCACAGTGTGAGGGGTTGTCAAGTTGGCGGTTGTATGGTGGGTCGATGGGGTAGTGGTGGTAATGTTGACGTGGGCAGTTGTTGCATTTGAAGGAGTAGTGGTGGGATTGGTGTGAGCTGTTGTGTGATTGGCAGTTGTGTGATGAGCGGTGGTGGTGATGTGAGCTGTAGTTGTAGGGGTGGTGGGAGCAGGGCTCTTAGATGAGGCAGCAATGCTTCCAAACATAGCAGGAGGTACCATGGAGGCAGGAGGATTATGCGCTAAAGTAAGGTCTGAAGAAAGACAGAGAGAGTCAGTTACAGATACAGCTTTCTTGCTCTGCTTTCAAAGTGAAAATGCAAGTAAAACCTCTACAGGTAACACTTAACCACACACTCACACCACAAGGTCTTGTTCTGCCACACAAAAAAAACTCTCCTTACCAGTCATGTGACACTAATATGCATAGCTAAAAACTGGAAACATGGCCTTATTCAAGTCTATCTAACTGTATTTTTATATATTACATTTATTGATGCTTACAAGTAATATATTTAGGCTTATTATATTATATATGGACCATTCTACTAAAGTAAGTTCAAACTGCAGTACCACAGAAACAAAGTTTTCAGACACAGATATTTAGAAGGATTGTGCTATGATCTATTTAAACCCAAATCATTCAAAAAGATAGCGATAAGCTATTATTTACAAAATCAGCTTTTCTATTTCTGTCCTAAATCCTAACCCAAAACTTCAACTTGTGAAAATAATGCTTACATTTTTAATGTTGTTTTTTAAAGAGCTATTTGAATTATTTTAAAGTTGAAAGAATTTGATTTATTTTGAGTTTCATTTTTAAATTAAAAAAATAACAAACAAAACAGAATTTTAGTCCATTGGTGGAGCCTTATTTTAGCCACACCCCTGCATTTTAGAGCAGGAAGTGAGACTGCATCCCCACACGGTGAGCAGTTAGCTCCCATTGTTTTGAAGTAAATGTGTCCCAATGTCTAAAATCAATGTGAAAACTTAATAACTGTCACTAGTTAAACACATTTTCTGCAATTAAGAAAATTTTTTTTTTGTTTTAATGAAAAACATTATGATTTGATGTGTGTACAACTGTGCAAAGCTGCATTTGCTAGTCAGGCTAAAATTTTATGTTACGTTCAAAATGAGCTAAAACCTTCACTACTGCAACAGTAACTACTGAAACATTTAGTAAAGTTTCTGTATCGTTGTTTTGGTGGTGACAAAAAATAATCATTTATTTGAATAAAATAAATATAATTAAGGTATAGGATCACTCAAAGCAAAAGGATTGTAGTCTAAAATACAAGTCAGCTAAAAGTCAAACCTGACTTTTCAACTTTGACTTTGAACTAATTCAGTAATTTGACCCATATACACTACTGTGCAAAGGTCTGCAATCACGGTTTCTATTGACATAAAATGAAAACGGTGAAAACCGTTTGACAGGATGTGTATAGATTTTATCGCGATGCTATTATGCTGCTTCTTCACAGAGGTGCGAAATGTTCCATTCTAGAGAAGCTTACTGAGTCAGAATTGTTCACACTGGTGGTGATAGTAACCAGACGTTTTTAATGCCTCTTAAAGCCCCATCACAGACAGTTATTACATGAAATGGTTACAAATACACTGCCTGATGACTGACACATTGTTTTATGATAGTTTTGAGAAAAAGTTTGGACCTATTTTTTCTTTTAATCCAGTCATGGTGGAGTGCTACATAGAGGGTGTTGTAAAGCAGAATAGTACCCAAAGAAAACTCTCAGACTTACCACCATTTTACCATCATCAACATAATAAAATAACATCATTACACAATCATTAGAATGACAAGTGATTCCAAACCTTTGAAAGCTAGTGTGGTTGGCTTTATTGTTAGTATTTATTGGATGGACTGCAGGCTACACAAATACACTTAGCCTATACACACCACAAGGTCTTTTTTTAAAACTTAGCACAAAAAGCTCCTGTCACGTGACTCTGATTTGGCTAGATAAAAATGTATTAAATGAAAAAACAGCTATTCATGTAACTGTCCATTTCAGTATTACATACACATAAATACTCATATTTACATGTAAGATATATACACACATTATGCCGATATATGATTTATTTGACGGACCGCAGCATTTCAGCATCGCAGCTCAATCACGTGAAAACGCTGCACATGATCTGTATGTAGATCTACTGAACGGGCCTGTGGTTCCTTAATGCGCTCAATCAAGCACATTAAACTGGTCTGCGCCTTCAGTGCTGGAAAAAAGATAAATACCCTAAGGCTAATGACCAATAAGGGTATTATTATTGTTGTTGTTTTTAATAATATTATTATTAAATAAATTTTAAAAGTTTAAATCCAGGGCCCTGAAGCCTTTTTCATACCTCTCAAAATGAAACTCTCTCTCTCTCTCTCTCTCTCTCTCTCTCTCTCTCTCTCTCTCTCCTTACTGGGGAAAAAAATGCAGTTTTCGACAGACCCCCTTTCCACTTCTCGGGAAACTGAAACTGATGCCATCCACTTTTAGTGCCTCGTTTAGATAGAAATACACGACTTTAAATCTTTTTTAAAGCTGTATGTACAGCAATACAGTGTCAGCAGTCTTAATATTTAATGGTCAAAAGTCCGTCAGCCTGTCTCAAACTCGTCCACATTTGCCAGACAGTTCTGATTTCCTGCAGATTCAAAGTAATAATCTGATATAAGCACGTTAGGCCCGACAGTTTCAGCCCACTAACTACAGTGTTTACCTCCCTTTGTTGCCAGTTCGCGTCAGAGAGTAAATGCGTCTTTACCTGAGCTCAGGATGAAGGTAGCCACCAACAAGCTAACAAAGCTAACGCCTGCCATCTCTGCCGTGATCTCCTGTATGTATTCAGTCTTTTCTGTGCAGTAACTCCTCGGTCTCTTTGAGGCTTGAGCAGAGATGATAGATGTGAGTCTAAAAGCTGCCGCGTCCTCTGCCTAACTGACAGAAACGAAACTAGAAAGAGTAAGGAAGTAAAGCCGGTCACATTACTGACAGGAATTGCCCAATCTGAGTGCAACTGCAGCGCACTGACCTGACATTACTGTATTAATGGAATAACAGAAGACTGCCACTATACTGGGTCAGAGGGTTAAAATAACAGCGTTTTAAAAAACCTGTTGGTTCGTAGTCAACTCCTGAGACTCTCTTTTAGACTCAGTCTGAGATTTAACACTTCGGTTTTCAGAAGGGGGCGACATTTTCTCTTTTTCTTTTGTGCGAGTGCGTGTGTTTTTCCTTATTTAAACAGTCCAGTCAAGTCTTGACTGCTTTTAAGGCTCGTGTGTCCAGTACCGTTCATATCCATATATTCATTATAAGACCACACCGCCAGCAGAGCACTGGGTACAGGGTACTGTCCAGGTAAATTTGTGTCCCTCAAAGAGAATTCCACCAATTTTTTCCCAAAATTTCCTCCAGAATCAAATGGTTGGGAGGTAAAAAGGTCATCGCGAGTGCTGTGATGTGAAATGCACTGTTCACTGAACCTACACTTGTCAGAAGACAAGTGTAGGTTCAATGGTCATTTTGGATAATACATAAAATGACTATATTGGCATTGTAGACATTGTGACCCCTGGTTCATATTACCACCACTGTAAAGAAACCTGAAAAGTTAAGTTTCTCTCAAACTAAGCAAGAATTATGCAGAAATTCTTATTCTAGACTACACCAAAAAAAAAATAAATAAATAAAAATAATAAAAAAACAAAAAAAAATAAAAAAAAGATAGAAAGAAAGAGTACTGTCTAGGAAATTTTAGTCCGCCAGTCTACAAACAATGTAAACATCCCCTCAAAAGGTACAACGTCATCCTTTGATTCTGTAGTTGGGTTTTAAGGGTACACTACATTCACTTTTCCAGGGGAAAGGTGCATATTTGTACCTTTTGATTACTTAACTTTTAAAGAAACACACACACACACACACACACACACACACACACACACACATGTGTGTGTGTTTCTTAATTTATTAGACTAATTGTACAACAGCAGCACGTCTTTTGCCTAAAGAACTAAACTGAAAGATAGCAACTCTGTTGATGTAACATATTTTATTCATGTGCAACCAACAGACACATTTGAATAACAAAGCTTCAAAGCACCTTTGTTTTTTCAGTGAAAGGTCTGGCTGACCTTATGTAGCAGTACTGAAGCACATGGCAGGAAGCTGTTCGATGACTCTTTTTGTGAGACATTCATGTGACAAGAAACAGGAAAACCTGGTTACAAACCAGCACTACTGGCTCACACACACACACACACAAACACTCATACACAATTTCAGGACACACAATTTGTCATTGTGTATGAGAAAAGCTTTCCTAGAGTCAAATACCACCAGCAAACTAATCGTTCAGTTACAGATGATAAGAGGAATGTAACTAATGATTTCCTGCACCATCTGAAATAATTCAGTAGCTGAGGTCGGTAGTTTCAGCATAACCTCAGAATCTTGTGACCAATAGAGGAAACTGGGGTAGCAGAAGATGAAGGTTCTCACTGCTGACACACTCTCTATGCTGTTTCGGCTTTATTCTGTGGAGTGACTTCTTCAGCAACCATGACTCATATGAAGTCTATTGTATTTAAGTTACATTCCAGCATTTTTCTGCCTAATCTCTACCATCTACCATAAAAAAAACATATCTGCACTACCATTTCTGTATTATACAGACAATTATTTTACCATGTTTCCCTATACTTAATAACTTCTTATTCTTAAAAGAAAAGGAAGACTTGTTAACTTAAAACACATCTGTGATAGAAACTGGTGGGCAGCTGCTGAATTCAGTGAGTAAACATTTATATGTAACACATACTATATATGTAGAATGCTTTCATGAATTCTTTAGTCAAAGATGTTTGCAAATGAAGCCGTAAATATGCAGCATTAATTTATTCGGCAATGGGACTATTTTTTATAAATATGTGGCAATGTCTTGTGTAGTGGTGTGAATGGAATCTTCTCAGGTTGTACCTGATGACGCATAGATACCAGAAAACCTCAGAGAGAGAAAAAGTAACCGGAACTACTTTTTACTGTGGCACAACAGTGTTTGGAAGTTGGTTAAAAGTTCATAAGACATTCTCTTGTATACAGTACTGTGCAAAAGTTTTATCTAAGCAAAATGTTGCTGTCAAAAATAATAAAACAAAAAACAAACATATAACACATAAAACAGTATCTCAAAAATGTAACTTTGTAAGAGAAGATAAAAATATTGTATTTTTGAATTGATATCTTGTGAGCTGGTTAGAAGAACACAGGTTTGTTTCCAATTGCCTCCTGTTGCCTCCAGCCATCACACAGATTTGTTAAATTCCATCAGGAGCACATCTGACCTAATGCGATGAAATACTGAATAGTCAAACCAGGTATTGTTTAGTAGCTACAAACAAAACTGGGCTTCCTCGAGGGAAGGTTTGGAAAAGATTAAACACACTGAAAGACATAAAATCTATACTTATTGTACTGTTGTTATTTATTATTTGTATTTATTGTAATATTTGTGTTTCCTGAGCAAATAAACACTTAGTGCCCAATTTAATATCTTTTTAAATAGAATACTTGGTGACTATAACCTTTGCACAGTACTGTATGTCATTCATGTTTGTAGTTTTGAATTTGTGGTATATAGTCACACTTTTAAATGTTTAATCATGGAATTCAGCAACTGCCCAACGGTCAGTGGGTTTTCAGTTATTTTCTAAGTACAGAGAAATGTGTACAAATGACCGTCTGATGTAACTGATAGTATGGTACAGATGCAGCAGACAGAGATTAGGTTGAAAAACACTGGAATGGTCCTTTACATGTCCTCTACATCCCCCTCAACCTGTCCTCTTATCTGACCCTATTTGACTCTGGTTCCTCCTCTTCCTCACTGCTGCTCGACTCCCCAAACATTTGGTCCTGGCGTTTGTCTCTGCTTGCTGTCGTGAGCCCCTGCTTGCTGAGAGTCATGCTGATGAGGGCGGGGGTGTCACTGAAACCCACAAGGAGACTGCTGTTCTCATTGCTCAGTACAGACATGCACTGGATTCTGGAGTCCGGCGTGAAGACTGACAGAACCGTCCCTGCATCCAGGTCCCACACGCTCACCTCATCTGTAGGAATGTCAATGGTTACTCACTTTCCCCATGCTTATACCAGATATAGCTGTCTGAATCGAAGCCTTTCAGCTTATTTTTGCATAGGAGTAGCACTGCAGCCACACTGCTTCATTTACATGCTTGCCACCACATCTTTTAAAATACTGGGAATGGAGCTTTGGCAAGGGCTTAATTTTTCAGTTAAATGTATTTGTACATTAAGCAGTACGTTTGTAAGATTTTTTGTTTCATAGATGGGATTTTCCAGGAAAAAGAAATTGTGTTATATTGTTATCAACTCTGTGGTGTTGGCAAACTTTCCTGCCTTAACAGACATGGATACCAGTAAATCATAAGAAAAGTGAAAGTTACTGGAACTGCTTTTTAACTGTTTTACTTCAGTATTCGAAAGAACTGCTTTGGTAAGACATTTCGTCATGTTTCTTCCATCTTAAAGGGGAATTCCATAGATTTTTAAAATTCTGTGCATAATTAAATGGCTAGGAATTAAAAAAAGTCATTCAGAGTGGTTTGATGTGAAATGCTCTGTTTTATAGAGAAACTTGCCAAATCATGCCTGATTCATTTACCACTAGAAGTTTAATGCCTCTAAAAGATTATTACATGAAATGGTTATGAATACACTGTATGCTGTCTGAGGCATTGTTTTATGATAGTTTTGAGATAAGATTTTGGCCTAACTGTGCCAAAGGCAAAATGGTTCCCCAAAAATATATATTTTTATTTTATCATTATCAACAGCAAAAGGATGCCTGCTTGAATTCTTTATAAATAAAAATAGAACAAGATCCTAATGTGTGGCCATGACTTAGTAAGGTGTGGGAACAAGATAATTAAGTCATGGTCCCTGGTTCCTTTCACCAGCACTGCAAAGAAAAGTTGGTAAGTTTCTCTAAAATGAACCATTGTAGATCGAACCACCCTGAATGACTCTACATCTCAATGACTGAATTATGCAGATTATTTTTTCTTTTAATTTCACAGTTCTCCTATTGTTAGAGTGTAATGGCTGTAGATCCAAATTCACAGTACACAGTCAAATATTTCAAATATTCAAATTCATTCATTTCCCACAATTCCCCATACATTCTAATAATTAAATGTGTCTCCCTGTGCATAAAAGAACAGAAAAGCCTGTGACTTCAAATTCACTTAGTTTTCTTTTCTTTTAATTGTAGGGAGATGTGTTGAAATTATTGTGTATTATAACTGAGCTACGATACAAATGCAGCAGATAGAGGTTAGGTTGAAAAACACTGGTGTATTTTTCTCGCTTATCTAATATCAGCTTCTGCATAAACAAATATCTGCCTTAGGGTCCAAAGTACAGAGACAGTTTTATAAACGTGTAAGCCCACTGTGACTCCAACACAGGTGTGTCCTGATAATACCTGCTAGCAGAATGGCTTTGGATCCTCCATCAGTGATATACAGCTGGCTGGACACATCCAGCTTCAGGCCCCTGTATCCAGAGATGGTTTTGTGCTTTCTCCTAAATGGCTCCCACACCTTTAATCTGTGGGATAACAAATCAATGAGATAAACCAACAGCCCACAGATTTAGAAAAATGACAGATAGGTGTGGTATTTTACTATACATACAATTTACTATATTACTATGTCACCATTAACACTGTAGAAGGTAGTAAAGGGTAACAGAAATCTCACATTCTGTGCTGTTGTAGCTCTGGGGGTCTTTCTGTAGTGTGATACTAAGGGGAACATGATACCTTTAGTCTAAACACTGAGGAAAACTGCAGCTTTCACATACTTGTTACATTTTGAAATGCCAAAAGCGATTCTGCTGGCATCACTGGTGATGGCCACACAACAAATTCCAGGCTCATTTTTTAGTCTCTTTTGTATCTGGAACAACAAAATTACACACAGAATCTTGTAGTACTGTGCAAAAGTTAGAAAACAACTTTTATTTATTTAATATTTCCAGTCAAAATAGCCATTAAGTACAAGTTATTAATTTTTTAGGTATCAGGGGAAAGCAGAACAGAAAACTATACAGAAGCCTCAACAAGTAAATATATATATTTTTTATTTTTAGTCTGTCCATCCTTTGCCTTTATTACAGTGTTTATTACAGCTTACATTTTTTGTAGAGACTTGCTTTCAGTTTTTCTATTAAACCTGCGGGGATATTTTTCCACACCTTCAAAGTTCAGTCTAAGAAGCTGGTTCCATTTTTTCTTCTCACAATCCAAGTAATCCCTAAAAACATTCAGTGATGTTGAGTTCTGGACTCTGGGGTGGTCAGTCCAATTCTGGTCAGTCCATTGTTCTAAGAACACCAGCAGCTTTTTTGTTTTTTTGCCCATTTCTTTACTTAGTAACAGCTTTTTGACAGCTACACAACCTTTTAGACTCACAGCATTCTCACTGTGAAAGGATGGACACAATCACCTGTGGATTTTCTCCTTGCTCTCAAAAAATGAAAGCTTTAAATATTGTTTATCTTATGGTGACAGTTTTAGGTCAGTCAGGTTTTGCATGGTTGTTAGGAGTCCCATTTTCTTTTAGTGTCCTTTAGTCCAATTTTGAAGTCTATTTTTGGAACATTTTTGTTTTCTTTTCTGTTATTTTGCTTTCATATGCAAGTATTTATTAAATGTTTGACTAAAAATGAATTAAATGAAAAGGTGGTCTGATCTCTGGCTTGTGCACATTATACTGTATGTTCTGAAAACACAGAAAAGACCCATACACAATCTATTATTCTTTACTTGCAATGATTCATTTATATAAATATAGGTACAATTTTATCCAAAACTATTCTTTTGTATTCTTAAGTAAGAATTTTCCTAATCAAGCTGTCAATTATAGCTCTGCTGCAAGGCTACTAATGCCATACAGCTTGTCATATGACATCTTTCTTTAGAATAAGGAATGGTTTATCCTTAATAAAACCAGACTTTGGGGTCACGCAGGTCCCTGAAGTCCCTCCGAACTCCAGGACCATGATGCCATCTACACTTTCATTTTCAGTCATTACAGCACCCTTGAGATACATTACACTGAGATGCAAACAATAAGACTAGGGTTAATAGACTTGTACCAGCTGCTAGCTTACCCTGCCATGCTTCGTGTTCCAGAGAGTGAGGTAAGGAGATCGCTGGGTTTCGCTGTAGTTAGAGATGACCAGGTGTCCTCCTGAGTGTGTGAGTGCTGCAATACGGAGGCCCAGAAGGGACCAACGATCTTCAAGAGTGTGCAGGTGCTCCTGGGTAACTACACTAAAGACATTTAGATGGTGGGCGAAGTAGGAGCATACTACCACCTGACCAAAAGAGAGAATGATGTAGATACAAAAAAGGTCAGTGAGTTTAGAAAAGGGTGAAGAGCCTATAAGAGAAGCGAAATGAAGGCCAAAAATAAGCAAGCCTAAATTGTAAAACAAACACAAATCTAGATCAAAAGTACTTCTCACATTTTTAGTACTTCATCTCAGATACAGTTTAAGTTCAGCTTATGCAAAAAAGTGAACATGCTGCTTCATTATAAGTTGAAGTCATTTATATTTTTTGTTACAGTTTATCCCTCCTGCCAATTTCCTTGTTGCTGATTCCCACCTGCTGGCTATTACTCCCCCTGTCATATTCTTCCCCCAGGCTGAGGGAGTGAGAGCTAAGTGCTTCCTCCCTCCAGAGGGCTGTAGCATTACCTGGATTCAAACTCATGATCTCCTGATGACTAGGCACTTAAGACAGTTGTGCCAATATAGAGCTATGAGACAGAATGAAAACATACCAAAATGTTTAATTATACAATTTTTTTTAAAAAACTGAAAAAAACTTTTCTTCAGTTATTTCAGCACAAGTAACTGTGACCTTCATGTATCTTCATGTGAGCAAAGACAACTCTGTCTGAGCGGAACCTTTTCACTCCATCTTGGACCCAAACATTTAACTTTTTGGCTCCTGAGCAGTGCAGCTGTCTAACTAGTTGATCATCAGGAGATGAGTTTGAATGGTCAGGAGTCCAAGCTAAGGAAACACTTAGCACTCACCCCACCAGTTTGGGGGCATCGTGCCATATGCAGGGTCCTAGAGCATGAATAAGAATCAGCAATGACTACAAGAGGGGAAAACTAAGTAAAAATTAAAACAGCTTTATCTCAAAAATGATCTCAGCTTTTCAGGAGATACCCACACTGTCTTTAATCAAGTAAGCATAAACTGCATTGTCGCCTTTACTGAGTGGGGGTACTAAAAATATGAGTTAGGAGAACTTTTGACTAAAACACATTAAGATAACTTCAAAAAGCTGTGCAGCTGGTTGCTTTAAAAAAGCAGTTTGACCTGAGTTTTAATTTATTTTACAGTGAATATGTCAATGTACCTCCATGGTTTAACCCCTTCAGTGCTAACGACTTACTACGTATTAGAATAGTTACTGAATAATAGATACAGTTATTGAATAGCAAGCCTTAAGATTAATAACTTAATAACAATCCTGGGATTTAATGGATTAACAACACAGAGTACTGTTTCAAACAGAGAAATGGTTTCTAACATTACTTTTTCATCTCCACTGAGGAGGTATTGGTCTATGGAGTTGTGTTTTTCTCTCTCTAAGCAGCGCTGCTCTTCTTTCTCTCTCTGCACTTCACACTCCTGCCTCCTCTTCCTGGCTGTGTGGCTCTCCGTGCGCCAGTCCCAAGGCATCAGCAAACCTGTAGATCAGTGCAACACTAATGCTCAGAGGATACATGGCTTTGAAGACAAAAGGCTTTTGAGAGACCAAATTTAAGGAGGCACAGATAGCCGAAGGCTATGAAGTTTTGCAAGAAATTAAATTGACCAATGAACAATGGAACAGCCAAAACGCACTTAGTGTCCAAGGCTTGCTTATGCACCTTGACACTGTGACATACTGTTATACTGCTGTAATTTTTTACAGATAACAGCATCACACAGTGTCAGAAAGCACATAAGTACGTCTGTTTTAGATTACTAACCAACTCAGCGTGGTTTGGATTTAGCCATGCAGTTTGAGCAGTGCTAACTGGGTGGACATAGGCTACCATTATGTGTTAGCTACATTTGCCTTGTAGCTCCAGTGCAAAATTAAAGAAGCAAATTTAAGAGACCAGATTTGGCTGATCATCTTAAAGTGGTAAAGTGGAAAACTGTGCATATTGTGTAAATTACATACTGTTATCTATAACTGAAAGTTAGGAATCTGGGATCTGCTTTTACTCCCATCAATAAGAAGCCTTGTAGTGTTAATCAGTACCTTTCCTCGCTCCAGTGGACACAGTCTGGGACTGTATGTCTTTGAGTGGGGTGCTGGTCAGCAGAGACTCTCTATGGTATGTTTTAATGCGTCCTTTAATGTAGCCAGATTCCAGGTCCCACAATATCAGATGGTCTCTATAATAAAACAAAGAATTACATATATTTCTCTTACCATGTGCTACCATATTATATCATACTGACATGCAGTTGTATGCAAAAGTTTGGGCTCTCCTAGTCAAATTACATATATTGTTGACTAAATGAAAATAAGTTCACACAACCTCTACACAGAACACACTGCTGCACATTTTAATGCACAATTACTGTTTATTTGCTGAATTTAACATAATGGGGAAAATGAAACATAAAATGTGGCATGTACAAAGGTTATGGCACATTTTATATGTTATATTTTATGGTTTTCCAATATGTTAAATTCAGCAAAGAAACAAAAATTGTGCTCTAAAAATCACCCAAAATACATATTTTAGTTTGTTCTCTGTAGAGGATGTGTCAACTTATTTTCACTTAAAAAAAAAAATCATGTAATTTGACTAAATCAGTACTTGATTCTCGTAACTACACAGCTTTCAAATTAGCTTCACAGTAGATAATAATAACACTAATGACTTCACTACTTCACAAGACTTACAATTAATAGGTGAATACTAAGCATGGAGTTGAACGGGACAAAAAGAACTATATCACTTTAGGGTCTTTAAAGGATTCCTCTTTCTCTCACTTGGTATCTATGTCTGCTGTTTAAGTGGTAACAAAAAAGGCAACAGGTTCTGACCGGTTCTCGGAGAGGCCAAGCAGCAGCTCCCCCTTCAGGAGCCGGTAGTCCTGCTGAGGACAGGGTACAATGAAGAGACCTGACTGCCTCTTAACATAGCTTCTGGTTAGGAGATCATATACCAGCAGTGTCTACATCAGTCCATAAAGAAAAAATATATACATTAATATGTTAGAAGCAATTTGCAATATTGTAAGCATATTTTCAACAGCTCACACACACACTGCAGTACATGGTGAACAACTACAAACACTCACTCAAGTATATTATATCAGCCGAGTACATTTAAAGAATAAATATATAAACAAATAAATAATGAAAAAAATAAATAAATAAAGCCACACAAAAACCACACAGAAAGGATGAAATATCAAGTGGAGTTAGAAGGAGAATGAAAATAGCACACTCAAAGGGGTTGTGGTAGAGAGTTTTAAGGACGCTAAAAGATCAGCCTCAAGTGGTTACCAGTCTAAATGTGTTTCAATATATAGTATTTCTTTTCAATTCTTCATGTATCTAGAACATATCTAGAGGACCAGTGGGTTCTAATAGGTAATATCCATCTTTTAATTATCACAATTTTTTTATCTTTATCTTTATGATGATGATCCTATGCAGTTATTGTTATATATATGAAGCATACAAAACAACAAACAAACAAACAAACAAATAAATAAAGGAAATAGGATTTTCAGTGCTGTACCTGGTACACTGGTGTGGGTGTATCAGTGAAGGTGGCCATTCCGCGGTCTGTCAGAATGTACAGTCTGAGGTCTCGAGCCAAAGCTACGTCAGCGCTGGAGAATAAGCCATGCTCCACTCGAACTGGCCGACCCCTAAAGCTTGCTCGGCTTATGTTCCACACCCGCACGGTACCAGGACGCATCCCGTGGCACACTACATAGCTGGATACGGGTAAAAACAGGACAATCGTTGTGTTTCCTAGACCTTCAGCTGCTCTCAGAGGAAAATAAGAAATAACTACACTGTGTTATTATGGTTCTGTTAATATAACATGGTGTGGGTCTACCTGGGATATTTGTCCACAGGCATGATCTCCTGAGTGCCATCATTCTGTGCCCTGTGTATGTTGTATGTTAGAGTCTGGTCATTGATTCTAGAGGCCAGGTTCCACAGGCGCATGCACCGCTCTCCCATACAGAAACCCAAACAGAACTGCAGGTGAGAACTTATTCCTACAGATACAAAAACAACCACAAAAAAGGAGAAAGTTTGGTCAGAATAAATTAAAGCAGCTACTGTTGGAAATTGGTTGCATATTCTTAGCACATTGTAATCCACATCGCCGTGAGAAAAACATACATATTATTTAACGTCAGATAAATAGCTAATCCTACCTAATGCATGCTACTGTATGTTCGCCCATCAGACATTTGGGAAAAGATAACTTTTTAAGAAAAACTGGCAAAAGTACTCCCTTTAGGACTCATCAGCACTCAAGCTTTTCAGCTGTGTAAACTACCTTTGGGCAAAAAGATTTAAAAGATGTACTTTTAACAATAATTTAGAAGAGAAAACTGTCAAATCATTATTTAGGACAAAACTGCCCTTTATACTTGTGATGAATATGAAGCTGACTGTTGCAAAATAAAACAGAAAGTATTAAATAGCTCTGTGTTAATACATCAAAGGAGAAATTTCAAATTAAGCCCCAGGTATCCCAAAATGTTTGACAGGCCGTGTACACACTGGAAAAGGTGCTATGTTCTCTGTCTGACCTGCAGTCAGAAGGCCTGGAAAGCGTGCCATGTGTTTATGATCCTCTGTCTCTAGATTCCAAGTTATGATCTCCGTGGTAACACTGCGAGGGGAGGGGCAAAAGGCCACAGCGTGGGTCCCGCCCCTGTTGACGGTAACCTGGGAAATGTAGTCCTGACTGCAGCCCAGAATGGAGCGCAGAAACTGGAAAGAAGCAGTGCTGTAGAGCTCGATGTGTATTATATCACTGTGTCTCTTATAGGGATACCTTAAATAAGAGAAAACAGATGTGAGTTTTTTTCTCTTCAACAGTGGACATTTAGTAATGGTGAGGAGCATATAGCATAATATAGGGTAAGAAAGAAGAGAAATGTGTGCAAAGGGCTAAAAATGAACTTGTAAATCACAAGAGGGAATGTGTTTTTAGGAATCACTGCTGTGCATTGTAAAAAAAGTCTTGCTTTCACAGTAATTAATTCCACTATATTAACAGTAAATAACAGTAAAATATCATCTGTATACTGTGACCTCAGTCACCTGGACCACAAGATTACTGTGACGTAGCTGTATTCTGCTGTACACTTACAGTAATAAACTGTAGTTTAAATACAGAAAAAATCCTGCATTTTTACAGCTGTACATGTAATGCAACTCAGTAGCCAGTAAGTTACTGTATTACTGTTTACTGACACTAAATATATACCAGTTCAATTAAGATGTTCAATTTTTATTGTAAATTAAATAAAGGATAAATTAAAATAAAATCAAAACAATGTTGACTAATATATTTATTAACAATGTTTTGTACGGTATATGCGGCGAATATCTCAAGTAATCATTTTTAAATGCACATACACATTTTACAGTTTAACACTGCTTATCATTTGCAATAATCTGGCAATACCAACAAGAAATATTTTTTGTCAATATATCCAGAATATTAAAATTCAGCATAAAACTTTACAAGTCTTTCAAACATTAAAATGTAAATTGTCAGAATAAAAACATTTAAAATGTTCTTATTAAAATATTTATGCCTTTTAACTGTGGAAAATCAGAGTTATAATGAAAGCCTGGCAATAATTACCAGTGTAGGCCGCAGGCTTGAAGCCTAAGACAAGTTTTCAACAGCAGTTTTGCAAAGTGAAGAAAAAAATAATGCAAAGAAGCCCCAACATTGTTTCAAATGAACATTTTTAACATCCACAGTCATTGCATAGGCATTTTGGGGGGCAGGAGCTCTAGGAAAATAAAAGGCAACCTTAAAGCTACTTAAATTTTATTTCGTTTACAGCATAAGGCAGACATTCTCATCCAGAGAAAGAGACCGATAATGTATGTGGAGGAAGGTAAAGGAATTGTTAGGAATTTTTCCCCAAGGCAGCCTAAAATATTCTAATTTCTGCACAAGTGGGTCATAAAACCCCACCCTTTCATTGTACACAGCTATGATGTTGACCTGCATGTCATCTAACTGTGGATGAACAAATTATGAATAGCAGTAGGCAGGTGTTCTCTTTAAGAATTCCATGTTGCCATATATAAATCTGTGTCTTTTACAACAGCTAAGCACTTAGTTTAGTAAGTTATTAGTGCCCTTTACTGTTGACATGTTTAGGTCTTATTCAGAATTCTCACATTATGGAATGTGTTTCTCAAAGAAACATAATCAGAGTTTTATTAGCAGGATTTTCAATGTTGTGGCGATACGTGCATTTTTGACAGTTAAGAGTTAGTGAAATGTTTACATTTGGCAGTACTGCATTAAATCCTTTAAAATCCCAGACTTATTACATACTAAGGCTTATTATTCAGTAAATACAGGGACAGTATGGTGCAAAATGTGCTGTCATTAGGTAGAATGCAGGTAGAACAATTTTCAACCACACAATGTATAGATTTAAAAAATAAAATTCAAATTTGGCTCTGCCGTGCAACATGTGGTGTTGCAAGTACAATATTACTACATTACAAATGCAGTATAAAATGATAGCGTCCGCTGTTACCTGCAGAAGAGCAGTAAATACTGAGAGCTCATCTCTACAGCCTGTATGGAGGCAGCCTGCTGCTGTGCTTTTACAGTCACCAGTACTGACCCTGATTTAGCACTGAAAACAGCAGCTTCTCCACCACTCCTAAGAGAGAGAGGGAGAGAGAGATTCTATTAAAAACCACATCAGTGCAACACTCTCTAGGAGTCTATTAAAAAAGTCTAACACAATGCCTTTGTTGCCACAACAGCTCACAAAAGAAGCTAACAGACTAATCCCGAACTGAAACAGCCTGCTAATACGCCTTACAGAGGACTTCTCATTCTCTCCACCGCCGCAGTGTTACCATATCAGCACCTCTCTGTTTATTCACAACAGTATAATGCTTCCTCGCTGGTTTCACTCACTCTCTGACAGGTCTTAATATGACCCTGTGAGCAAAAATGCAGAAACCATACATCCATTTTTTGAAACACATAATAACATAGTAATACAATTGTATACAATTCAATTATAATGTAATAATAATATCTAATCATCTAAAATGGAAGAATTGGCATTAACATCACTGGGCAGGCTGCCACTTGGCTTAATTAGCCACTACTTTTTTAATGACAAATGCTGTCTCGCATTACCCGCCAACCCAGTGACCCGCTTTACAATGTGTGTGTTTGTCGGTGAGTGAGAGATACCTCCAGACTAATTACATTACGAGTGAGGGTTTAATCCATCATTTGATCATCCCTACTCTCATTTAGCTGTCTGGTCATCCTATCAGTCATTCATTAACATTAGAGAAAGACAAATAACTATTGGAAACATTGGAAGCATTGCTCTTCTTTCAGTCTCAGGCCCCACACACACTCATAGGCAGGAAGAGAGGAAGGGTGAGAGGCAGAATCCTTTAATAATAGAACAGGTCGGTGTCAGACCAGACAATGGAAATCAGTCCAGAAACTGCACCGGTCTCATTCCACACATGGCTGCCGATTGGATATGTGATATTACTTAAGAGCAAAATGTTCAGTGAAGATTAATAAATCATAGCATATTAATGTGCGTGTGTGTGTGTGTGTGTGAGAGAGAGAGAAAGAGAGAGAAACAGAGAGGGAAAGAGAGAAAGAGAGAGAGAGAACATGCACAACGTGATATGCATTTAGCTTAATACAATTTTAAACTTTTTGCAGGTCACGGCCCACACAAACGACCACAAGCTTTTACAGGCCACAAGAAGTTTTAATCGATCGAGCATTTACTCTGACTCAGTTATAGAGATAGCCAATGTTGTTTGGCAGCTACCAAATGTTTTTCTTGCTAGATCACAAAGCTGCAAACCAAGTTCTGTAGCTAAATTTGATGCCGTAAAGTGTTCAGCTTAATTTAACAAGACCTCTGACTGTAAAACACACTGCATTAGCTGCTCATTCAAATAAATATACAACAATATTTAACACTATATTTGGTCAAATATCTATATTTGACTGGATTTTTCTGAATTTTTGTGATTAAAAAAAAAAACCCTGACAGCCAACAACCCCCACCACACACACACACACACACACACACACACACACACACACCCCCACCCCTAACTCCCACCTAGGCCCAGTAGGGAGCTGCAGCCCACAGGTAAAAAAAAAACACTCACTTATATAATTTTGATAGAGCTTTTTTCTAAGTTGGGCTTTCTAAGCCTCTTAAACCCACTTCAATTCCTCATACTCATAGCTACTTAACTAAATATTAGTTTCATAATACTAACTGAATAACTTAAAGTTAATAAAGTACTGTGCAAAAGTAAAAAAACACCCATCAGTTATTTAACGTCCAGTCAAAACAGTTCAACTTATTAATTTGTCAGGAGATATTTCAGAGAAGATTAGATATATGTAAACTCAATTGCATAACAAAAGTCAAAGTCAAAGGAAAATAAGCGAAAAAAAAAACCAGAAAAAACTGGAACCAAAACTGGACTTGTGAAAATGTGACTCCCACAACTGTCCAAGACCTGGCAGACCTCCAAAACTGTCACCATTATCAAACAAAGAAACTGCTGGTGTTCTCAGAACGATGGACTGGCCACCTAAGAGTCCAGACCTCAACATCACTAGAATGTATTTGGGATTATTTGGATTGTGTGTTAAAAAATGGCACTTTGAATTTACATAGCTCAAACGTGTCGGTGGTTGCAAATGAATGAAATGTATTAATGAACATAATTATTGCCAAAACAAGTAAACCTAAAGAAAGCAATTGTGCTGATGTAACATATTTTATTTGTGTGCAACCACTTGACATATTTGAATCATGAGCCATGTATTTTTCACTGTGAGAAGTAGAAAATGCAACCAACTTCTAGGACTGAACTTAGGAGGTACAGAAACATATCCTTGCAGCTTTCCTTGAAAACTGAAAGCAAGTATGGAAGCTGTAATAAAAGCAAAATTTAAAAAATTTAAAAATTGAGGCTTATGTGTAATTGTCTGTTAAATATATGTTTTCTCCTTTTTTCCAAATGCTGCCAAAAAAAGGTGATCTTACTTTTGCACAGTACTGTAACTGGATAGTAAGCCTAGAGTTTAAAGGGCTATAACAAGCTTTTTAACTAAAATTAGCAAGATTCTATTCTGTACTGACCTATAAACACTGACCTGTATGCAAAGAGGACATGGTCTTTGACAGAATTGTGGGAGAGCAGAATGGAGTTGTCCTTGTGGATGGGCTCACTGCCCAGAGTGACCTTCACACAGTGCAGCAGTGAGCAGGATGCTGCTAAGTCAAACACCTAACAGAGAGAGTGAAGAGACTGAAAATTCAAACAGGTATGTGTAATATAATTCATAAAATTTGAGTTTATATGCCATCAGTTGAGCCATATAATGCTAATTCTGCCAAACTGACCATCATATTAGGGTAAAAGAAAGAAAGTAGCACTTTGGCAGGACAATATATAACTCCCAGCCACTATATGAGAGACAGTGAATGACCAACTTAAACATGACACTTACACAGGAAATAGCTACAGGAAATATAGTGCCCTGTTTCAAAAATAACATTTTCTGTTCTTACTCCTTTCGTTTCTCAGCTGTCGTCACAAAAGTTAAGATCACAAAAACAGTAACTTTATAGGAGACAATGTAGATTATTGTTACAAAGGGGCAGCTGGTGTCAAAAAATAACTGCTGAAAAAATTATGAGATTTAGAGAGCTTCAAACAGATTAAGTCTAAGGCTAGACAAAATTGGATTTTAAATTGTAAAACATGACTGTCACTGCAATTTAGACCACTACTAGGCTTAATCCATGTTCACAGAACTGGTCCTTTATGTTAGTTCTTGTTATTTCAGTGACACTTTAGCAAGACTGTAACACCATCAGTTCATGGTACTACAGCTTACTGAACTGATGGTTATGTGCAGCAGAATTCTCCAAGAAATATAGGTCTGCAGGTTATACCTTTACATCGAAGTAACTCATGGAGTCAGTTTTTAGAGTAAGGGATTAGGACTAATATTAGACTACATTTTCCTTTCAAAGGACAATCTCCATTCAGAATGCTGAGTAGCCCAGGACTAGGCTTAATCTCATTCTAGGAAACTGATCCAGGGTGAAATGTGTACTAACGTTGTCTTACTTTGACTATGTGACTCCCATCATGAAAGACCACCAGCAGTCGTCCATCACATGTCGATGTAACCACAGGAACATCCAATGATTCACTATCTGTATAAAGCACCTTTCCAGACTCCACCTCTCGCACCTGGAGCTGGTGACCCACCCTCAGTGCCAACACACTATCCTCCAGACACAAGGTGAGCGAGTCAGCTGCCCAGCCTGAGCAAAAGCCCTCTGACCTGGGTAAGGTTCTCGCCAGAGCCACTGTTTCATCCAACCGCCACAGTTTAAGGGTTCCGTCCACAGAGCAGGACACTGCATGGTGCTGGCCAAAGGCTAATGCTGTTACAGGACTCATGTGACCTACAGTCAAGGCAGTCACAGCAATCACACGAACAGGACATGATATAACAAGCAGGATGTCACAATCAGGGTCAGGTCAGTTTCTCCTTGGGGGTCGTACCTGCGAGTAAAGAGGGTGTGAGTCCTCCTGGGGGCAGGAGACAGCTGTAAGAGGGCACCAGGACCGGAAGAGATGAGAGCTGACACTGGGCTAACAGGGTATGCAGGTAGGAGTAGCGCCGAGGATCACCTGAAAAGATAGAGCGTGATATAGGAGCCAAAAAATTCTATATAATCCAACTCATTTAATTAAATTAGCCCATTTAATTAAACCTGAAATAGTTTCATGTAATGTATTACATTTTTAAAAAGATCATTGCTGTTGAAACAAAACCTTTTATCCCAAAAATGGTAACTTTACAGTGGAAGGAAATTTAATGGAAGTTATGTAAAAAAGTTAAGGTGGAAAAGATTAAATTTCTGTGTGTCTGAAAATAATCGCTTGTTCTGTACATTTCAATCTGGATTGCTTCTTGAATGAGGCCCAATACAGAGGATCCAATTAGAACAGAACTAATTTACATATATAAAGGCTGCAAAATGGTTACCACACAAAAATCACACATACATGCAAATGAAAATGTAGAATATGGGCTCTTTAAATGCATTTTACCTGGAGCAACAGGCTTGTCCTGGGCAGTGATGTGGAGTAAACGGCCCAGCAGTTGAGATGCGAGCTGGCAGGGGTCCTTCAGAAGCACAGAGCGTGAAAGATGGAGAGCCTGGACCAACACCTCTACATCCACCAGCTCTCTGTAACACACACACCCCATACATGTAGGTTCCCTATCTCTTTAATCAATCACCTGGACTTGAAACAGGCCAGCATCAGGGAGTCACGTAGTGGGGCAATGCTCTACCAACCAATCACGCCCCACTAAACCTATAACTTTTCATACATGCTTTTATAGTGGCAGGTGGAAAAAACAAGGCGAAACTAAACTACTGCAGCATGTACTGATATAAAATGTTACATCAATTAGTGTAGGAGGGTTTGCATGGATCACTCTGTATTGGCTGCATTTTAAGGAAGCTCTGTATTTTGTGGGAAGATGAATGAGCAGATTTCTTAAATGGGTCAACCTAATTTGCTGTACATCTTGCTTTCCTGTTGATTCATTCCTGAATATCATCGCTGTCCAAAAAAAAAAATAAATCAAAATAGTAATGGTACAGGAGAAGGCAAAGTCCTTCCTAACTTCCTAAACTAATGCATGTTTTTCTTCGGACAGCAATGAGAGATATTTTTCTTTTTTTTTTAATTAGTACTACTTTTTAAATATAGCTACATGTATATGCTGAACCCCAACCCCCTCATCCATCTCCCCCTCTTTGGTTTTTAGATGCCCCACTCATGATTTTGTTCTGGCCCTGGGCCTGACCTGAAACTACAGAGTCAATACCACCCCTCATTATCCTACTTATCTGGGATGACAGCAGCTTTCAGGTCCTCTTCTATATGGCAGATGGACAGACCCCAGACCTTATGTAGCAGGAACTCGTAGTTGAAGAGACAGAGGCTAAGCAGAGACAGAATCTGGCCTGACTGTATGAGGTGGTATGGCAGCCCGTGAAGCTTGCGCAAATTAAAGACATAACTCCTTCTGCCTTTCTCCTCTCTGATCCATGCAAGTGGCTGAAAAATGTCACCATTGGGGGCATCGCCGCCACTGTAGTATTCTGCAAAGTCTGCATGGACAGTCCTTGTCGCGTCTTCTGTTTTCAAATACCGCTGGACAGCAACACGGCCAAATTCACTGTGTGTCCAGCGCAGGACCCACGTCCCATCACTTTCCACTTCAGTAAGGTGATACCCGAGGCCCCGTCTGAGCCGGGCCCAAAGCATGAAAGGCACACTGGGATATCCCGAAGTGGGTGGAGTCTGATTGTGTAGTTGTGCCAGCTCCTGGGCGACACGCCGGTCTCGCCCTAAAAGCTGCAAGAGTTCCTCCTCCGTCACTCCAGCCCGCGAGAGAGAGATCAGAGAGGCGGCACGGCGTACTAGATGCTCTCCATGTTCACGTTCCAGACGGACGAATATGGTCAGGAAGAGCTGCTGCAGCTGCTCAGGGGGAGTGATCTGCTCAGGGTCAGTGAAGGAGCACCAGACGCTGCTCTGACTGTAGGCTGTGCTGAGGTAGAGAGGGTTAGGACAAGAGAGGCAGCGCTGCAGTAGGAGACTCCACTGAGCTGCCTGAAGACGACGAGAGTCAGATGCAAGCCTTGAGATCAAACCTGCTGTGATCTCTACACTGCTCAGAGGAGGCAGAGTGAGGACTGAGACCTTAGCATGGGTCTGGGGGGAAAGGGGGGAGAAAGATGTTAGTCAAATAAGAAGAGAAAAGAGACATAGATAGAGAGAGTGTGAGGGGGAAAGGACAGGGATGACATTGGTAAATTGTTATTTTAATATAATTATTAAGGGCCCATATCATGGAAATCAAACCAAAGTTTGTAAACTTTTTTGTAGAATGTGAACACTGTATAAATTTTAGAAAAAATACCACTCAGTCCCCCCTCCATAGTGTCCATATATGGAAACTAAGCAGCAAAAACAACCCCATTTGAATTCATTGGTTTTGTGATGTCATGAAAGCCAGTTAATTTACATATACCCGCCTCTTTAGCCTACAGTAGTTTAGCCCTGCCAATCCAAGCTGAATTTATAAGGGGGGTTCCAGTGTGGGCTGCTTTTTGGATTAGGTACAATATAGCGAAGCCAATTAGAACAGAGCACATTTATATACATCAGACACAGTAAAAAACAACCTGTTTCACTGTAATGCATTAAAAGGTTGAAAATGTTCGTGTAAAAATTTATTTTGACTGTTTCTGGCACATAAAAATCACACTTATAAGAGCACCTCAGGGAAGAAAATAAAATGCAAGAAACATTTAGGATATGGGCCCTTCAAAGTGAAAGTTCAACAAAAAGTCACATTTTTTACATTTTTGTCGATCAGCCAAAATGTTTGGTGTCTGAAGTTTCATTTTTTAGTTTTGTACTGGAGTAATGAATCTAATGAAGCTAAGAAGTAATGGAGAAGTGTTGCAGTGACATTACAAAGGAGGAGGAGACACTGTAGTTGATGAATGGGATAGCCTGAAACACTCAACATGGCAGCTGTAGTATGGAAAGTCCTACCCTTTGATAAAAGGAGTCAACTGCCTTGCTGTGGATACATGTGCTTGCGTAGTAGCCAGAACAATCAGAAAAAAATTTTGGTGCCTGATTTGAGCTAAACACTACTCAAAGTTGATGCTATTTTTGACAGATTTTACCAGTGATTACAAATATCGTTGCCCTTGGGAAAAAACTGTCAGGGTATCTCCATTTTTGTCATATTTTGATATAAATCGAAATTGCCAGCTGCCCTTTATATTGTGTTAAAATTTCTTGATGAATAGAATATCTAGTAGAAAGGGTCCGAAAATGATTCGGAATCAATAATTTCTCCATTAACTTTTAAGAAAGTTATTTATTTTTCCTGTAAAGTTACCATTTTAGAGATACAAGTTTTTTTCTTCAACAGTGACAATATATATTTGAAACTTTGATGTGGCTTTTATTTTGGGGTTTATAGGTGTACAGGCAAAATATAGACACACAGTTTAGGTTTTAAAATGGCTACCACTACTGTTTTTAGCTGCTTTTATGATGTCCTTTTCATAGATAACCATTCATCAGAGTCACAATCAAGTCTATTTGAGACTGTAACAATTCAACGCAGTATCTTGCAAGCGTGTGATGATTCAGAGATTGAATTTGTGCAGTGCTTACTGGTGAGGTATAAGCTTTAATTACTAGTTAGCCACATTAGCCTTGTAGCTCCAGAGCAAAACTCAAAAAGCAAACTTCAAACACCATTTTGTATTAGTTGACTAACTCCATTTGGGGTCAAAAAAAAATGGTGCAATACTGTATAAATCCAATATCTCACCAAACTATTGTTTTAAGCCCATTTATTTCTCATTCTACACTCAACTTCAAAAGAGGGAGCACCTTGAGCAAGTGAACTGAAGATGACTGTGTGCTGGCAGACAGGATGGTGTAAACGTGTGGAGGTGGAGGAGTGTAGAAACAGGACAGATCAGCCTCATGTTCTTCACTCAGTTCATCCAAACCATCCAGCACTAGAGCCAGTGGCCTGTCCTCACTCACCAACACCAGCAAAGAGTGCAGCTCTCTGACTAGCTGGGGTAAAGACTGTGGGGGGAAAGACCACAAACAAAACATTCTGAACTCAAAATGTGTCCAATTACTGTTAACTGCAACTGCACTTCATACATATATACTACACATACAGTATGGGAAGCAAGCTGTGCTTTTTCCTTATGAAGTCAATAAATTTTATTTTTATTTAAATGATTAAGTCTGTTTGGCAACAATCAACACGCTTACTGACAACAAGTTTATAATGAAACTTCACTACAAAGAATCCTCTTCTAATTTCTGTATGTGAAAACTGCAGTGGTTAGTTACCTCAGATATTTCAGTGTTTTTGCAGTAGAGGTCAGCTATCTGTGTGCAAAGCATCTGCAGGAGAAGACGCACGTTTCTGCTGTGCGATGTCAATCCCACAAAACACACCAGCACCTTCACATCTCTGAGATTAAATAGAATTAAATGTCAAATTACAACATTTCATTGAGATGAAAAGTTCATGCTTTAATATTAGAGTTCAGCACTGCACCCTGTTTGCTCACCCCGGTATCCAGGTGGGTATGAGCCGGGCAACCTCGGCCATGATGGTGCTCTTCCCAGATCCTGGCTCCCCGAGCAGCAGCACAGCATTCTGGGAGGGGGGTGACTTTACCAGAGTGTTTCTCACCTCCAGCAAGAAGTCTTGTCTAAACTCAAATCCCTGTGCACTACAGAAGAAAATAAAGGCATCAAGTTAAACAGATTAAAGGGCCTATGCTTTTTTTTTGCATTTTATTTTTCCCCCCTTTATAATATTTGTGAGGATTTATGTACCAAACAGAGTCATCATTAATTTTTCCATGACAATTTTAAAATCTCTCTTTATTCATTAGAATTAAACAGGCTGTTTTTGTTAAAGTACCTTGAAGACTGATACATGTAAATGACCTGAATGAGCATATTTAAAAGTGTACATCACAACCATGATGAATTAAAAAAAAAAACAGCTTTTCCTGCTTTTCTGTATGAACCAAGGGAGTGAATGGAAACTGATACCTGAAATCCTGAAAGAATGCTTAGTGCAACAAAAAGCAAGGACAATTCTGTTTTCTATAAGATAGGTCTTTTAAAATACATGTGCAATTAGATAGTTAAGGACAATGTGCTGTCATTCAAACCCACAGAACTAAATAAAAGTATATAAGGACAGGTTTGCAACTCACAGTGATTTTCCATGTCTAAGGTGAAGCTGAATTTCCTCATTAATTCGAGTCTGTAAAGCTTTTCTTCTCCTTACGTCAAAAGCGCCTTTGGCAGATTTTACCTGCATCACCCTGCAACAAATGTGAGGGTTAAAACTACACATTCTGATATAGAGTAGGTGATGTTTTCATTTATGTAGGTTACCTGTTGAGGGCTGCGGTGACTGTGCGCTGGAAATGGGTGCAGAGGCGCTCTGTGTAGAACTGATGGGATCTGTTGTGTTTGGGGCTGAGGCCTTTCCTTCCCCAGCCCACATTCGTCTCATAGATATTAGTGTGTCTCAGCTTCAGGACGAAAAGACCCAGAGAGTTATGTTTTAACACCTGTAGACTTTTTATTCAGACTTAATATTCAGTGACTACTATAAATTATTAAAACTGAAAATGTAAGTTTTGTACTTAGGACAGTAAGAAATCAATTATGTAGGCTCATATTCTGACCCTTTCAGTTGGAGGTTGGAGGGTGTTGAAATCTGTAAGATTTGTAATCTGGATCAAAACTGCATTTAGATATAGTTGCTGACTCAACACTGAATTTGCCCGATTAAAATGTGTACATTTCCATGAATAGAATAAACAACAATATGGTTTAATCTTTCAGTTTACTTATTTTGGCAACTGTATTGACGTAATATATTTTATTCATGTGCAAATAATGCACTCATTTGAATCAAGTATATTCAATGCATCATGCTTTTTCATCGAACCCTCTCACCAGTCCTTGCCTCTAGTTTTTCTCACCTTGCTGTGGATCTTGTGGATGAAGCTTTGTTGGGCTCGGTACAGGGTTTGGTTGATTTCTGGTCTGCCTTTGTGCAGGTCAATGAACTGTGGGGCGTATTCGCTTTTCAGGTTATACAGCAGATCAGTGATGATGCGCTTATAGCAGTGACTGTACTCCTCAGCGGGGAGTTTCGCTCCTAGTCCCTGCTCCACCTCCCAGTCCAATACTGACACACAAACATGCCAATACATGCATAGTATTTAAAGTGATAGTGTGAGGAAATACTAATTTACACAATTTCCCCTTTTACCCCAAATACAACTGATCAGCAAAGACACCATGTTTGGTGTCTAAAGTTTACTCTGTTAGTTTTAAACTGCAGCTATTAGACTAATGTACATAACAATTAATGGAACAAAAAGGGTTCTACGTAGTACCAAAAAAGGCTTATATGTCTGGTGCTATATAGAACAATTTCAAAAGGTTGTTTAAAGACTATAACAGGTTCATCATAGAGAGAACACTTTAAGCAAGTAAAGAACTATTTATGCGTTCAAATGTTTTTTGAGTGTTCATCTTTCTAATACATATATAAGCATTGCCTTTACTAAAAACTCTTGAAGAGAGTTTAAGAGTGAAGCTTATACCTTACCACTTAGTACCATGCAAACGTTATGTACACTAAATGGCCAAAAGTATGTGGACACGCCTCCTAATGATTGTGTTCAGGTGTTGAAGTCACACCCATTGTTAGCATGTATAAAATCAAGCACAAAAAGCCCTGCAACCTCCACAGGTAAACACTGGCAGAAGAATGGGTCGTACTGACATTAAGCTCACTGACATTAAAAATGGTACTGTCATAGGATACTACCTCTTCTTTGCCACACGTTCATGAAATTTCTAGATCCTAGACCTGCTCTGGTCAACTATAACTGCTATTATTATGAAGCATCTAGGAGCAGCAACAGCTCAGCCACGAAGTGGTAGACCATGCAAACAAAGTGGGGCTGTCAAGTGCTGAAGTACATAGCAGTAAACAAATCTCCTATCTCTTATCTTCTTGGGATGAATTGGAACGTTGATTGTGAGCCAGGCCTTCTCATGCAACATCAGTGCCTGACTTCACAAATGCTGTTTGGACTGAAAGGGCACAAATTTCCACAGACACATTCCAAAATCTTGTGGAAAACAATTTGAGTTGTTAAGTGGTCTCAAATGGACTTACATATGTCAATCAATCAATCAACCTTTATTTAATCTCAGAGAACATTGAGGGTGCCCCTCATTTACAATGTTGCCGAGTTAATACAGAGCAAGGGATTGATAATGTGTAATATGTAGTTTCTGACAGTGTATTCTGTTACCTATAAAATGGACAAAAGTACATAGCATAGCAAAAAAAAGTATTGTTTTGAAGCCTGAATTAGCTCCAGTGCAAAACTACAAAAGCAAACTGTTGTGCTTCTATATAACTGACAACAGACATGTCTAATCGACCACATTTGAGGTAAGAGAAGAGAAGAATTTTTGCTGAGCTATTACTTTAACATGTGTATATTCAAGTCTGATAAATCAGCGAATTAATGCCCACCTCACATAGCAAGCAAAACCAGACACACACACACATGCACACAAACCTGTTCTGAGTAAGTGGGACGTAGCTGCCTCTCCAATGGCCTCTGGGCCGCTGCGCTGTAGCACCCCCCACAGCCGCAGACACGAAGAGCGCCATGCTTTCCTCGCTGCTTTCCTGCGCTGCCCATCACGACTCAAGTAGTCAGGATGGTGTGTACTAATGTTTGCAGAAAATTCAAGGGAAAAATATAAAAGCTTAAAGGGTCCACATTCTACATTTTACTTCTTTCTCTGAAAATCAGTCTTAAAATTTGTGTTGTTTATGTGCCACAACCAGTCATAGTTCATTTTTATATGACCATTTTCCAACCTCTCTTTACCCCTTAAAATAAAACAGGCTACAGATTACTATGCCTTCAGGACTGGCTGTCCTGTATTGTGTCTCGTTCAAAAACCGCGTATATGGATTGTATGGACTGGGAAGTGAACAGTCACTACTACTAGATGTATTGGGTGGCCCAGTGCTGAAATGCAATTTACTTGACTCAAAGGTGTAGATCATTTCCACATGAGCATGAAAATACAGGCTATTATAACAGCACAATAACTGGCAAAAGTAAGTACACAGCAAGACAGGTTGATATAACGTGTTGATATACTTATTCATGTGGAAATGATGTGCACACTCAGCGGCTTACTTTTTAACGTAAATTGTATATTAGTGTATATCTTTTGTTGCTAGTGATTGTGGCCTATGAAAAAACTGGCAAACTGACAAAATAGAAAGAACAACATAATACCACTAGTGACCTCCTTGCCCTTTATTTTGCTTTACTAGTGAAAAAAGTAGATTCTTTATCTCTCTATTGGCTTTAAGACTTTGCTCTCACTGTCTCTAGTATCTATCCTAATGCCTGTAAGCAGTGCCAGTACTACACTCCCTACCATGGGAACCAAACAGAAAGTCCTGCATCTACCTAGATACAATGTTACCCCCCCCACACTGTTGCACCTCCCCCATATCTGTAACCTGCTCAGGTAGTTATTCCACTCTAATGGATACTGATGCTGTGTTTTATTGAACATGATTGTCTGCCCTGTCTTAGACAGACTATCGTTAAATCATTAATAAACAAGTATGAGATTCACAGGACAACAAATAATTAAAAACGGATCTGTAATTTCTTAATGAACTGAGTGCATAAGATGAACAGCTAAACCGGGGGTCATTAAGTCTGATCCAGCATAGTTTTGTGATTTCCTTCTCCGAGACCTACTAACCCAGGAAGTCAACTGATGAGTTGAATTAAAGAAAAGCATCAAACTGTGCTGGACTCCAGTCCTTCAGGACCAGAACTGCATACCTATGGGCTAAACTCTGAACGTAATGATGACACCTTCATCTCTACCTTACAGGCAGCAGGCGATACACAGGTGGGACCATGTTTTCATCCAGTCGGTACCACGTCTGTAAGAGGGTCAAATCCCTGATCAAAGTCTGCCCAGCATCTGGCCAACCGTGTCTCCTCTCCATCTGAAAAGGAACTGTGGGAGTTTTCGCTCATTAAGGCAGAACTTCCTGAATGGTCCTCCTCCTCAGGTCCACGGTCCAGTGTAAAACTTCCATCATTGCTAACAGCAAGGCTGGATTGCGATTCAACAGCCATTTCATCCACCTCTGACTGTCTCTTGGACAGCTTTTTCCTGTCTCTTACAACAATTCTCAAAATGGCCTCAAAGTCTCCTTGAGAGATGATGGTGGGTATTGACTGGACCTCATGCTTCTGACCCATGAACAACTGCAGAAAAACAACAGGGAGTGATGAGAAAAAAGACAAACAATCATACACATGAATGTACCCATAATTAGGTATATTAAAGTCTAATTAAAGCTGCACTATGTGAGATTTTTTGTTAAAAGTAGCATTACTGAATCAGAAGAAAAAAACATGCTAAAATAAGGTGTCCATGCACTGCTGCAAGTCACGCTGTAAAGTCTGAAATAATCATTGAAAGGAGGAGTTTTTCAGACCAAGTCATAGGTCACATGCACTGGCTCAAAAAGAAGGTCTGGCTCACTGTATAGGTTTCAAATCCAAAATCAATATTATATTGATGAATAGATGATGGCAATAGCAGATAATTCACTAAGTTGAGTTCTTTCAACAATAATTTCAAGCAATAATCCGATTCATCCGCTTGAGGAAGGGGTATAAATAAAGCACAACTGACACTACAAAATGTTCTTTTGCATGTTGTGTGCAATTACACATTTCTACCAGAGAGGTCTCCAAATCTCCAAATCTTACATAGCGTAGCTTTAAGCAAAATCAGAAGGGTTTCTCAAATAAGGTGGCTACAGTAAGAAACTAAACCAGACTCACATAAAAGTTTGGTCCCTCTGTCTCTTGGCACTTCTTAAGCATCTCTACATGTAGCTCTGCTGAACCATGATGGTCAGAAACTGGGTCTGCCATGCCTCTACGGAGGTCAACCATTCTAAAATCAAAGCCTCTCTGCTTACAGTGCAGGTACAGCTGGGGATACACTCTCTCCATTAGTGCAGAACGCTCTGCAACTGTATCTACACACAAAAGCACATGCTCAAATAGAAGTTATCTATATCATGCATATGAATAGTTGTACTTCAAAACGCTTATGTATATATACATAAGCTTTTAAAGTATATATATATATCGCTGTTGTTGGAACAAAACCTCGTATGTCCATTTTTGACATCTTTTGACATAATTCGAAAATACCTGTTACCCTTTACATTCTATGCAAATTTCATGATGAATTTTCAAAAATGACTTGGAAAAAAGCCTGGTTTTGACTTGCATCAGGGTAATCTTTAGTGATGTCACATGTATTGATTTGCCAGTCTTTTTAACATATTGCAAGGTCCATTGCCTTCACAATATGCAGAAATAAGATAATAATATGCAGAAAAGGCCAAACTGGTATTTTTTCACATTATGCAGCTCTATAATACAGTCTGAGTCCAAATCAATTCTTCACCTTCAGTTCAGTGATTTGCCTTACCTCTGTATCCTCCACACAAATAGATCATGAATCTCCTCTGTCTGACATGATAACATACATCTGTGTCCTCTTGCAGGATGTTTGCGCTAATACAGTCCTGAACATCCTGACCTTTTTGATCACATTCTTTAGAAAGTGAGGTTTCTTTCTTCTCAGCCTCAGAGCCTACACAGTTTCCTTCAGAAGAGCCTATATCAGGAGCTTCATCAGTACAAGATGACAATGCAGGAATAACTCCTTCATCCTGCTTGCTCTCATCCTCCTCTTCTTCTTCTTCCATTTCATTATCTTCCAGTACTGCTAAGCTCTGCAGAAGCTGAGGAGCATCATCGAGTGGAGCTGTAGGCCCACTGACATTAAACAAGGCCTTCATGGCCTGGTCCTGAAATTTTAACAAGCCTAGAGTTTAAAAGAAGCTTTTTGGAAGGCAAGCTTTCACCAAAAGATAAGTACCCCCTTTGCAATATAGGACCTCACCTTTAACTGAAATGTTTTACTTCTCAAAAAGTTCAATACTTCAGCTTCCTTCCCTCCAGGAGATGAATCATGGCTAGAACGCTTAAAATGATGTTGTTGCAGATGATTCTGAGGAGAGAAAACATCTTTGTGTTCTTCAGTGCCTAAAAAGGCATTGGCTAGAATAAGATTTTGATACATAAGCAATAAAGTTAATAAAGCTGTTTTTAAAGCTGTACTTACCTTGAGGTGAGCTGTGATCTCCAAGTCTGTCTCCACACTCAGTTTTGCATAAGGAACAAGCTGACGACCTGAGATTTTCTGGTTATCCAAAGGGCAAATAAACTAAATGTATCATAAGATCTATTACTTTTAACCTTTACTATGAATTAAACCCTTATTATTCCATTATTAATGTTAAGACTTATTATTTAGGAGCAACTACAAATTATTGGTAGCTACTATGAAGCGTATACATACGTTTTGTAGTGATAAGGGTATTGAAGTGTAGGCATTTAAGGGGCAACTACTGCTAAATTAAAGACTAGACTGAGTTGCAGTAAATGTTATGTTATTTTTCCATACCTTGTTCTTGATTGTTCTATCGAGAGGGCCATAATCACTCAGACACTGGGAGAAGAAAAGCTCTTGAAGTCTTTGAGACGTAGACAGCCTGGTTTTATGATCCTGAAGAAGTCATGCATTTTCAATGAGGGCGCAACAAAGTGTCACACACAAACCTGCTCAAGTGATTGATTCCAAGTACAAGTAGCCTAATTAGTGGCGCTAAATTAACAGATTATGTTACAGCAGATGCGAAGACACAAGGCTGCTTTAAAGAAGACACCGGCAGCCTTAAGGTGCCGCAGTATTCAGAACTGACAATGGCTGGATTAGCAGAAGTGATCACATTATTACAAGAGTGGATCTGAGAAAAACTCACCTGTGCCACTGGCTTAAATGGGCTACTGGAAATCGCTGGAAAGCTTACAGCTTCATGTTTCTGAAAATTGTGAGAGAAAGACATGCATTAATGAAATGGAACCAAGCCCTGTTTATCTATGGGCTACATACATGTTCATTCAATTTTAAATGATATAAACTTCAATTACATGAGCTTCAGTGAATGGTATTTTTGTGATGTTTGTAACTCACAATCAGGATCAGGTAATGGACAAAATATGCAAATATGAGAGAAATACAGCAGCTTTCAGACCAAATGTACCATGTTCGTATTAGACTTATTATATTGTATTAGACTATTAGAGTATTATATTTTTGGTGCTAAATGCTACTACAGCAGGCTTTCTGTCATAGAGAATTAAACATTTAATCAAGCAAAGAACCAACATTGAGAGGGTTCTTTGAGTTGCAGGGGTTCTATTCACAACCAGTGTCATTACTAAAGAGCCCTTGAGGAACCACTTATTTGAGGGTGTAGTTAGACTACAACATGCTACCAACTATAGGCACATTACTACAGCACATAAAGAAATTACACACAAATAATATTTTGAGTCACAAATAAGCAGTTTAAAGAGTACTACGTAAAAAAAACGCTATTTTAGGTAAGTTAGGCTAAACAGCTATTTTAGGTAAGTTAGGCTAAATAAGAAAACAGACATACTTTTTTCTTCTTCTTTTTGGGTGCAACTCCATTTCTGTAAATTGTCCACATTGTTGAATTGTAAATTGGCCTGTTGGATTATTTGTCGACCTTTAAAAACTGAAACTATCCGGAACCAAAAGGTGTCCAGTAGATTGTTCTGTATCAGTCTTGCTGAGCGAGGTTATCCGAAACACTCCCCGTCAAGGAGCCCCAACAGGAAACAGATATCTGTGAAACACGCCAGCTTGTATTTAAACAACCCACAAATCCCTCCTGCGTCTCTCCTTCTCATCTGTCACTACTTTCATTCATTGTGTTCAGTTTTTCATTACTATGGGAACGAAACTGCTCACGTCCATTTTCAAAACAGAACACGTTTATGGAAAAAACACTGTTTCTACTGGAGTCCTATATCTTATACTAAATTCAGACAAGGGCACTGTTTAAGTATTAAAGGTTACTTGTTAGACAGTATGACAGTGAAAATATAATATAAAAGTATAGCACAATGTAACTGTAGTTCTACTAGAATGGAGTTTTATCACTTTAGATCGTTCATGTGTGGAAAAATTTCTCATAAACAGAAACGGTTCACACGATATTATTCCGTATACAACACTACTACATAATCTGATTCGTCACCTTTATTTAAAATAAAGGGAAAAAGGCGGGAGGAAAAATCGGCTTTGGACCTTTTTTAAGCTTTTATTTATTTTCTATTTTTTTCAGGCTAGCCACAACACAAATCATCTATTTCAACCATTTAACAAATTAATAAAAAAAATCAAAATTAAAAAAAAAAAAATCATAATGTCTTTGCGCATCTGGTAGAGAGGGCATGTGCTGCAGCCAGACCGAATGGACAGTCTGACTACAATTCCCATAGTGCTTTGCTTTGTTATTATTCTACCAGTTCAAAATGGCCGCGCCATCGAGCGTCTCTGGTGGTTGTGCGCTGGAGAGATGTCTAAACAGACTGACAGCGGCTTCTTCTCCTTCGCTTAAGGCTAAATCACAAGCCGAGCCTCTGTATGTGATTTCTCTCGAGCGTTATGGCAGAGACCCTCTTTTCGGCGTGTATTTCCCGGACAGTATCTCTGAGTCGGAGAGTCTGTTCGACGCTGTGCTGACTGACGGCCACTGCAGAGTGAAGGTGTCTCTGGATCCCAGCCTCAACAAACTCATCCACAGGAACCAGCTGCGCTGCGGCAGCGCTCTGAGAAACGTCGTGTTTTCAGCTGGAGGCGACGACAGCCAGACACAGGGCGGGATTTTTACCGTCTGCAGCCTGGAGGTGGACAGTCTGTGCGGCGCGGACGCGGCCCTCCGCGCTCTCTCCTCAGTGACCGTTAGCTCTCTGCCCTGGCTGGGCTCTGAACCCAGCAGCCTGCCTCTGAGAGCCCGGAGGAGCACTTACCTCCCAGTGTGGAACAACCACGACTTCACTGGGGACGTGTGGAGGGACACTCCTCCCTCTGAACACGGCGAAGAGGAGTCTGAGGATGAAGCAGCGGAAGGTAGGAAAACGATGCGTTTCCTCTGAGGAATCTAAAACCGATGTGTTCACCAACCATCCCTCTGGAGTAGAGGAGGGCGATATGGCAAAAATATAATATAGTGATATAATAATATAATATAATATCGCGAAATTTTCACGATCACGATATGTGACAATATTTATTTTTTCAGATATTTGATTGTTGGAACAAGGAAAAAAGAACCAGTAGTGCTATAAAAATACAAGCAAAAAATATGAATACAGCAATTTTCATCTAATATGCTGTGCCCCACTTACCAAACACCAATTCATCTGATCCAGCCAATCAAGGACTTCAGTAGATGGAGCAGGAGGGTAGATGTCCGGGAACAGGGTTGGTGACCACTGCTAGGCACAGTTCAGCTGGGGTGTTGGTTGGGCCTGTTAAGAGCCAGGGCTCAGCCCAGTTCATCATAGAATTGTTTTGGAATATCATCTCACAGAGTTGCTTTTTAATTATCCTGTTAATGGGCAGTTGCTACTTTTTATTTAAGAAATTACACATCAACAAAGCGTGCAGTGATTGGGTCTTATAAACAAAATCATTCAAAATGGTTATTCAAAAAATGAGTCAACCGAAAGTAATACATACTGTCTTGGTAACTTACTGTTACATGTTCAGTGAACTTTACATTTTAAAACAGCCAGCTTACTTAAACTTATACATTAAAATGATTATTGTTTTACAGTGGAGTAAATGTAACTTTTTTTTTCTTCAGAGATTTCAGGCACTCTCTCTAGCGTGTGTACTTTCTTGCAGTATCTCTCTCTCCTTCTCTCTCTCCTTCTCTCTCTCCTTCTCTCTCTCTCTCTCTCTCTCTCTCTCTCTGAGTGTGAAGAGTGAGTAAATGTGCCCCTGAATAAAATCATGTATGATGACAGTGTTATGTAATCAAACTGGGGTGAAACATGTGAGATATTATAAAGTTCAGGGCTGGTTAAAAATCATTCGGGCTATAGCCTTGGAAGCCCTGGCCAGGCGACGTCCCTACAGTTCAGTATCACGGTATGCAAAGTATTTTCCAAATATGTCACAGTATGGAATGAAATTTTCTTTCCAACTTCTCCTTATACCTTAAACAGTAGGGGTGGGAATCTCTAGGCACCTCACTATTCGATTCGATTACGATTCAGAGGGCTGTGATGCGATTATAAAACGATTATCGATGCATCTTGATGCATCTTTTTTTTTTTTCTATACAGGATTTCTATTTCCCTACTGTCTGAGGCCTTGGTAGTTTTAAAGCAAAGTGTTTGTAATGATCCATAATGAATTTGTTGGGTTGGAGGCGGGTCGCTGTGTCAGTAAAATATCTTCGAGACGGGGCGTGTGCAACATACAGGGCTTTCGCAACGACTGAGAATTGCCGTGCAGACTGCAGGTCACCTAGCAACGATGCGTTATTCGCATTTATAAGCAGCGCAGTTGGTTTCCTGGTAAGTTAAATCTGCAACGAGACTGTCAAACAGTAAAAAGTCACAAAGATGAAGTCGCTTCTCTTCCGAATTTTCTCGTTCCACCTTAAATGGTGCCTCAGGCAGAATTTAAGGTGGAATGGGAAAATTCGAACAAGAAGCTGGAGAATAAGAAGCGACTTCAACCTCGTAAAAAATGTTGAGAGACATTTTACAAGAAACTGATCTAGTTTTGAGGAAAAGTTTTCTGGCGGAGATGGAAGAAAAGCGGCTATAGCTGAAGCTTAAAGCAGAGCAAATTAAGTCCGCGTTTTCGTTTATATTGTTTAGCCTAAACTAGGACATCAACACATACTGAGACATACTGGACATTAATTGTTGTGGCTCCCAAGGTGGTTTGATTTTTGTTGAAAGGACAAAATGTCTCTTCTTATCATTTGGGTTGTGACTCCTGACCTGACCTGGCTTTTAATGCAGAGGGAGCCGGTCGGATTTCTCGCTCGTCCAGTAGTGTTTTTGTTGTGTGCCGTCACAGACTGTCCGGGCGCTGCACTTCCGTACTTCCAAGTTCCGCCTTTTGCGTTCCGTCAACATTACGTTATAAATTAAATATTTAGAAAATCGAGTTTTGACGTTTGTGAATTGATTCAGAATCATTCACGTCCGCATCGCGATGCATCTAAGAATCGATTTTTTTCCCGCACCCCTATTAAAGAGGCTGTTTTTGTTTCTATGCCTCTAAGACTAATAATTGTAAATGAGTTCTGGTTTGATTGGCTATTCAGCTTTACTGTTGTGTATTATGCTTCTTTCAAAAAGAAGCCCAGGCTGAAACACTCTTTATAACTTTAACGTGAATGGACAGTGGTAAACTGCTGTGGGCTGAATGTTTTCATAGACTGGGGAGTGAATGGTACTTTATGAAACTATTGAATAAGTGGAAAAAATAGCATTTCAACTATATAGGCCCAATAAGTTCAATAATTAATAAATTAATTTAATTTTATAAAGTTAATGAACCCATGCTTTGTGTCTGCTGCAGCTTCATACTGAAAGACTATCTTACAAACCTGTACCAAACATAGTCTGCTTTGATTGGAAGGTTCTGTTCTGCTGTTCTTAAAATTACTAAAAGCAAAGCATCTTGAGAAAATTTTCCAGAAAGGAAATCTACTAATTATTCAAATTTTATTTGCTGTGAAGAGTTCTTTCAAACAAAGTTAAAGGTAATAATAAATAGTTTTTCTTCTAGCTGATGGCCGGCCAATAGTGTCTCTAGCGGAGCTTCGTCGGCGCTTTCTAAGGGGCTCACGGCGACCAAGAGGCTCTCTATGTGTGCGGATTCTGCACAAGTCCAGACTCATGTATTATGGGAAACCAGAGCAGAGCTGTGAATGCCCGTATAAGGTAAGGGGTCATATTTATGAGGTATTGTGAAAGCATAACATAACTGAAGGCATTGGGATTTTATTGTGTATTTTTTCTTCCAACAACTCTTCAATGACGTCTAGGACTGCATAGTGTTTGTTCATTATTAATTGTGATATTGGCCTTTTGCAATACTGATATTGCAGAAGGCTGCAGTTGGCAAATGAGCTCTTTTTCTATTGTTTGCTATGACCACCCTGACCAGTTGCGGCTCACGCTGAATTTCTGTTGGTGTTTAGATGAATTGAAGTATTCATGTGATCCATATAAATTAAATTATTATTATATAAATTAAGTTATTTTGGTCAAAATGATCAAAATAATGCAGGCTGATTTTCAACCATTATTCATTTACCAACAGCTTTCAATGTATTGCAAGATGTGTTGCAATGTAATGGAATTACTGTTATTTTGTTTGTATAGTGCAGGTCTGATGTCCTCTGTCTCTCTTGCTATTTCTCAGGCAGAGCTACAGGTTGCGGATGGCTCCTTGAGTGTGTGTGTGGTGCTGTGGAACACTGTGTGTTTAGACTGGTACCGCTGTCTGCAACCTGGTCAGGTTCTAAGGCTGAGCCGCTACCGGGTCAAGGAGAGCTACAGCAGTCGCAGTGGACACAATGCAGAGCCAAACATTGGTACAGAGAAACATCCTGCATATCCTAGCCACAGTTCTCATCACTGCACACAAAAACTATCCCTAGGCTGCCTTGACTGTGCCAGAAAACTAGGTGCCACTATTCAACCCAGTTCCTTTTAAAACATTTCCCATCTCCCCATAGAAAAAACAATAGGGTGGAATTTCTATACAGTCAGTAACCATGTGTTAAAGTCCTATTCTCATGCTGAATATGTGTTTTTCAATGTGTACCTTTCTCAAATGCAACTTCTCTCTTTCTCTCTGTCTCTCTTCCTTTCAGAGATCAGTCTAAACTCAAGAAATCCCAATGCTAAAGTCTCCATCGTTCCAAAGCAGCAAGTTTCTCCAGAGTGGAGTTTACCAAGCCTGCCTCACAACTTTCTCTGCGGGTACACTCACACATGCATATTTTTAAGAGTGATTGTCTATACTTTAACCCCAGCCACTGTATCATTTCAAATTCAAAAGCACCAAAACTATATAACATACCCAGTATAATAATATCAACCCTTTGCCCTTGTTTGCCTTGTTCTAAACCACATTATTTGTTTTTGTGAATTGTATTTTGATATAAACAGTTAATGAGTGGCATTTGTTTCAGCTTTGTGAAGCTGAGCACATACCATTTGAGCCTGGGAAATTAAAGTGCTAATTTGATCTTGTGGTCATTTCTGAGGCTGTAGTTTTGTGGTGTTTAAAAAACTGATCACCAGTTTTTACCGATATTTGATGATGTAGTTACTGTACTCCAGAGGAGCAGATGCTGGGCTACTGTGGTATTTATTAGTGTTACTGTATGTGTAACCCTATAGAAATAAACATTATATATTTCTCTGTAGTGCTCTGTAGTAATCCAGGCAGAATTCTCCTAATCCAGACTGAGATACTTTAATTTGCTCATGTCTGTTTAAAAACTCTTTTTAAAGTGGTAATTGTTGAGCTCTTTTATAGCTGTGTAGCTCTAATTAAACTTTGTAATTGTCAGTTAGTACTTTTTCTGTATAGTGTTTGTATTTTATAATTTATTATTTTATTTTTTTTTCAGAAAGGAGCTGCTAAGTTGTCCTCATAGCAACATCTGTGATGTAATAGGTGTGGTTATCTTTGTGGGTCACCAAGAACGTATTAGGAGGAAGGGTGAGACATAGATTCAGTATCTACATACCCCTTAACGGAGTTTGAAAAAGGTGGAATGTCTTTTGGCAGCAAATTTCCTGTGTGATTCTTGCATTGTCAGTCATTTCTGTAATTTTAAGCTTTTTGTATTTGTATTAAGATGGGCAGAGGACAGAATTTGAAGAGTACCGATGGCTCCAGTTGGAGGATGGGACCTCAGATCAGCCAATCACAATCAAGCTTTTTTCAACATCACAGCCTGATATACAGAGCCGAATCCAACCAAGTAATTCCTTTTGTGTTTTTCATTCTGTGATGTGCTATGTCTTTTTATAAAACATAATACTAAGCCAAACTTTCTTTTCCTCTCTTTCTCAGTGGCACTGCTTGTTTGTACTAGGCTCAAGCTATTAAGAAATACAGTTGGCAGAGCTACAGCCTTTG